GCTCTTTTCAAGCTACCACGAAGGATGCTGTTATGCAGCCTGTGTCCTTCATATGTACTCAGAAAGCACATGGAAATTTATCAGTTTGTTATGGATTGCTTAAATTATTTAAATCATTTTATTTGTTACAGATTATTTATTATCATGTCAGACTGAAATAAATCTTGGAAGTTCACTGTGTCACACTGTACAAAAGCGGGGTTCAAGACATTGCAGAAATCAAAGATTTTGCAATCAAATACACGACATATAACACATTAAAGAGAAAGGTACAGAAGAGGGGACTGTGGTCAACAGTTTCAGGCTTGTGTGTTATTTCCTAAATAAACCAATTTGCAAGAAATATTCACAATCCAAACCACCCTGGCCTTGCCACTGTGGATAGATTGTTTCCTCCCTGCGCCCTGGTTGCAGGGGGTGCCCAGAGAGCAGCAGCTTGTGGGGCAGGGATGCTCTGCTGGTTGTACAGAGGGGGCAGGAACAAACCAAATCAACATTCAGCGTGCCAAGGTGCTCAGAGGTATTTGCAGTGAAAGGACGTGGAGGCTGCTGAGAGAGCAGACACAGGAGGAAAAAGGAACATGGTGGGGCACAGGTGGATTGTGAAGGGCTGCGTAGGTCTGGATGGCGTGTTTGAATTTTGGAAAGGGAAGCAATTGGAAGATACTTATTAAGGCAGGAGAGGCCACAGACACCTTGACAAGCAAGGAAGCTGGAATTTAAACACACAGGCTGAGTCGACTTGTGTGCATTTCAAATGGTGCTATAATTTGTTTCTATAGGGCAACAGGGATTAAATGGAGGTAATCCCTTTACAATGGCTTAATCCATACAGGTGAGTCAGTTAGCATCAGGATTGAATAAGTGTAGAAATAATTGATCAAGTGTGTCAGAGTAAAGGGGTGGTGAGAAATAGTGGAGAGTGGAGCAAAACATACTCGTAGAAATGTTTATTCCCTATTGTAGCCGTTCAGTAAGGGACTGAGTGCAAATAATGTTGCACTGCCTTATTTGCACACCAAATATGTGCACACAATCCCTGCACAAAAAACAAAAGGATCGGCTGTGTTTATATTAATAGAGTGAAAGAGAGCCTTGCCTTTCACTGTTCACCCGTCCTACATTGTCGGTGAAGAAAGAGGCTGGTTTATAAATTTGGTGCATTTCACTATGCCAGGTCTTTTTACGAGTCATCACGGTGTTCTGAGGCTTTCCGTCTCTGAGGGGTCTGCAGGGGCAGGGATGCTTTTTGTGCTGGGTTCTGAGGCTTGCCATAGGAGGGACCTGCTATGTAGGAGGCTTGGCTTTTGTGCGTGTTTGCTCTCTGTGTTTCCCATTCAGACATAAAAATCATTCTGCTTGAAATTACCCATCTGGTCTTTGTGACTGAGGACAAAGCCATAAAAAAACAGGATAGATTCTCCTCCCCTGCCTATTCAATACCATGTACTTCAAAATTATAGTCAGCACTGAGGGCGGACTTTTACTTGCATTTGAACACTTCCCTGAAATATTTGCTGTAGCAGAGTAGTAAGTGAGGGAGGGGGAGAATGTAAATTCCCAAAAGCAGTATGAATCCTGAGAACTTCAGCCCTGAAAATGTTGTAATAGAGTTATTTGTGGGTTAGAGCTTTTCTCAGGAGCAATTTCACAAAGCCGGGAATTAGGTTTACATGAAATGCTCACTTTGAAACCACGACTTGTATGGCTTGTGGTGTTGTGCTTTGTGGGTGGCTTTTTTGGTTGCTTTTTTCATAAGGAAAAAGACAAAAAAGAAAAAGAGCAGAATTTTCTCTTCATCCCACTTGAAAAGACTCATGTTGAAAAATTCAGAATGCAGTAGAAAAAAAAAAGGAATGTTTCTGAGCTTCCCGAATTCCCTCTGTTACGTTTCTGTATCTCTGCTGATAAGGCAAGTAAGGATGCTTAGCGCAGGGGAGGAAGAAGGGGCCAGCCCAGTTGTATCCCTTTTCTTTAACTTGACTCCAACTTTTCAAAATCTCAGCCTCCACTATTGTGTTTCAAGAAACTTGCAGACTAAGCACCTCCGGATGATTCAGCTGACAAATTTCTCTCTGTTTTCAGAACTTGTTACTAAGAAAAGCCAAAATGCAGTTTTCTGGCTGCAAACCTTTTTTTTTTTTTCAAGGACAACCGCCTCTTACTCATTTCGTAACCCCGTGTTTGCATTTCAGATCAATTGCTCCTGTCACCGGGTGACCGGCAGGACTGGACTAGCAGGCTCCTTTCTGCCAGTGCCTTTTACTAATCCCACAGAAAGAGCTGCTGCGCTGCAAGCATGTCCTGAAGAAGCACAGGTCACGGTTGTTTTCCTGCTCCTCCCTTCCAGCAAAATGGGAATTGTAGGAACAAGTGCCAAGGAAGCTGTGTGAGGAAGTGACAGGGACTTTGCGCGGTGGCTTTCTGATGGCGTGGTGTGAGTGCCCTGGGATCTTCTCTAATTGACACCTCTGGGCTGCTGCAGGGTGACGTGGTGCAGGAACTGAGCAGGAAAGAGGAATGCGGGAGGTTTTGGAGGCTGATAGTGCCTCCGTGAAGCCTGGGGAGCAGGCCTAATAGGTTTCAACCAGAGACTGGGGAAATAGCATTTTAGAGACAGACAAACAACCCAGAAAGGCTAATTAGAAGCCGAACAAGAGCATGGAGTGCTGAAGCCTTGCTCACATTATGTTTTGTTAGAGACTAGCCCGAACTTCCTCTCTTCAAAGTGTGTTTGTATTATCTGCTCTTGGGCCTCTGTTGCAGGGTGTATTTGAGATGCCAGATCTGAGCGTGATCTAGTTAGCTGGGACACTTCAGCACACGTTGAATGACATTCCCCACTTCCCTCCCATGAGCGTTGCTGTGACATTTGCAGCTTTGAAGCAGATTGTTATTTTGAGTTTCCTCTTTATTTCTCTGGAACACAACAAGGGGAGGGAACCTCTTCATGCTGGGAAAAATAAAGAAAAATAAAATAACTTTCCAGTAAAGTCATCAAGTGTCAAATCACTCCAAATTGTTATTAGTCACCTCGGGACCAGATCAGCTGGTGGCCGTTTTGGGAATGCACAAGGGATTTTTTCCAACCCACTCTCCCCTGCAGTGGTTGAGTTGCTTGGGGCCTGCCTATAGCCGTGCACGGTGGCGCTGACTACTTAAAACCCAACACATAAACAACTGCGAGATTTTTCACTAATTCCTAACCCAAACCAGATCCTTCCATCCCTCTTCATAGCTGCCAAATGCTTGAAAAGGTTGGAAAAAAAACACAAACCGAGCCTTGACACGTGGTGGCTTATTTACTAGCAATTTACTTCCCAGGAGAAAGCGGCTGTGGGCATGCAGAGAGAGGCCGTGCTGCTTCTCCTCAGGGAGAGGATTTCCCACTGCTGGAGTTTCCCTCTCTGACTGCAAAGTGCTCCCTTACATCATGGCCTCACCCTGTGGCCCTCGGAAGGACCAGATTCTGCAAAAGGCAGAGAATCCTGTAAAATCAGGCTTGTGTAAAAGCCCTGGTCAGCCTGTCTGTTTCTGCCCTTTGCCTGTGTGTGGATGGCTGATGTTGGAGCTAATTGCATGCTCCTCATCTCGTAGCAATCAGTCCCGGCCTCCTCCCCCATCAGCTTTCCCTTTGTCGTCATTGCTTTCTCCACGCGCTGTCCATCCTATTCCCAGCCTTCCACTCATCGATGTTGTGCTATTATTGGGTGGCCCAGAAATGCAGGCATGTTAAAGGACGGGTGCCATAAGAGCTGCAGGGTACATTTCCCTTTATTATTGACCTCCTTTCCCTCTGTGCTGTGAAAACATACTGAAATATCACCTTCCCAGTCTTTGGAGCTTTAAGTCTGCAGCGTTGGCAGGGCAGGAAGATCATTTTTCACCCTGCTTTTGACTGGTCCCTTTTCTCTGTTTTAGGAGGGACCGTGCTGGTTTAACAACGAGGGTGGTGAAAGCAGAAGTGGATTCTCACATCTGGTTCATGGCGTCTGGAGCGAATCAGACCCAGAGCAGACTGAGCTAGCTTCTGAGGAAACTGACCTCTAAGCAGAAAACCAGAAATAATTGTGTTTGTGCTTGCACGGCGTGTTGCAGTGGCTGCCCTAAAGGTGGTCTAATCCCACAGGGCTCGGGAGTGAGGAGGAGAATGGGGAAGCCTTGATTAAATCGTCACTGAGGTGGGGGCATTTGCAATAGCAGCACTATTTAATTTTCTATAAACACGTAGGGTTAAAGACATAACTGGTGTCCTTAGTGCTGGTATAGAGAACAGCTGGGATTGGAGTAATTACTTTTAAGTTAAACATATGGCCACTTGTGTCTGAGTGCAGTTCTGCTACCGCTTCTGTTTCACTCACGGCTGAATTTTGCTCTCGACTGCTCATACAACTTGGGGTGGCTGTGCTGGGGTTATTGCTTAGACAGGTTAATGGTTAAAATCTCCCCTTCCAGCCTCATCTGTCTGTGAGGGTTACTCTCATGCACGAGGCTGGCCACTGGAAGCAGGGCCGGAGGCTGAGGCCTGCCTTGCAGGCATCACCAGCGTTGTTTTGGACTCTTCTTTCATCGTGCTTTGCTGGTCCTGTTCTGCTTCAAGCTGCACCTGTGTAAGAATTATTTGCACTTGGGACTTTTCTAATTTTTTTTTCTTTTTTTTTTTTTTTTTTTTTTTTTTGCAGAACTGGTTGTACCTCTTCTGTCAGCTCTACACTGACAGAAAATTGCTTTTCAATATAACTGAAGAGTCCACGGCTGTAACTACGGAAAGAGCCTTGACAAAATGTCACATACTTCTCTAAAGTGTTTCTTATCGAGGTGTAAATTTTTCTTCTTAACTCCTGCCATAACCACATGGGCACACGTGCACCTGAATGCCACTTGCTGTGACACTGGCACCCTTCCTGTAGGCCAAAAAGCCTCACAGTGACCCAAATTTACATCACTTTTCTCAGGTGTGTGCGTTGCACTTATCATCCCTCCCACATTTCTCCCCTCAGCCCTCCAGGGACAGCTTCTGCAGGCCTCCTGCTCTCATCCTGGTGGGGCTTGGGCTGTGAGGTGAGGATGTGGTCTTCCTGTGGGAGCCTCTGAGTCCTGCCTGCCAGGATGGGAGAGCTCTCACTTGATCCCCGACTGGAGGAAGAGTCTTCACAAGCTGAATGTGCAGCTGGAAGAGGTTAAAAATTAACCCCGCAGTGATGTGGGTGGGTAATTGACTTTCTGTTGTTTTCCTAAGTGGTGCTGGTGTCACTCAAAGCGACCTGACAAGGGGCAAGGTGGGAGGACGTGGGTGGAATTGGGTGGGGATGGACAGGAACTGGAAATATTTGTGTTTTATGAGATAAAGCAAAGAAAAAAGCCTTTGAAGACTGTTTTTTGTTAGGTGGGGGATGTTCAGTGTGTGCTTCTCTCTCTAGCTCTGTTGAGAGTGATTTATATATGTCTTTCTCTATTACACTGCAGATACTTCATTTTGAGTCCCCGGAATATCAAGCCTTTCCTTCTCCACTCATTTGCTGATCTTCCTCAGAGGACACTGACATGCAGAGAGAACTCCTTTGAACATCTCTGTCATTCAGGGGCCAGGTGACTCTCTTCTTTATTTCAAAGACGTCTAACTAAGTGAGGCACTAGTAAAACCGTCAGAGACTTAATGCAAAAATCAGTTCCCCCACCAGACTTCATTTTCACTGCAGTTAACCTGACCCAGTCTCAAACACAGACCTGCCCATCTTTCTGTGATCCTGTTGATGCAGTGTTTCTGGCCATGGAGCCACATTTTTCTTGTGCTCAGAGGCTATTTGGCTCTCACAGGGAAACTAGGGGAGGTGCACTGGAGAACCAAAAAAAAAAATGTTTTTTTTTGTTATTATTTAATTTTCTTGTCTGCAATCACAGTGCAAAACAGGTGGACTCTAGTCCTACCTGCCCTCAGCAGTCAACCAGGTAAGCTGGCCAGGACTGGGAGCACACCTTGGCCAGGTCAGACATTTCTCCTGTGTGTATAACAAGAGCCACTGAGTTTGGTTTGAGTCAGAATGTTAGTTACTGTGCAGTGGAGAAATATCCCCAGAGCAGCTCCTGTGGATGTTTTCATGAGCCTTCAGCTGTGGAAAAACAGGGCAATCAGACCTGAATTTCTAGTGTTAAAATTGGAGTGGAAAGGTATTGCTTTTTTTTTTTTTTTTTTAATTCATCAGAAAGAAGTCACCTTTGAAGGTCACCTTTTAAGAATTCATTGGCTAATCTTGGCCATGCGGTATGTGAGAAACAATGCTGTTTTCTGTGAAAACAGTTCTGAAGAAACGGAACACCTTGTTTTCACAGAAAAATTAAAAAAAAAAAAAAAAAAATACAAGTCCCTGTGCTGAAAGGTCTGATTATGCTGGACCAAACACAAAATATATTACAGCGGTATTAATTGCCTACACTGTTTATGTAGTCACACATTACACCTGCTATTTCCCCTAGGAATCTAACAATAGTAGTGTTTTCCATCCCAAACTGGATATGATGCTGAAATACCACACAGAAAAGGAATTTACGAGGAACAGGCCCGAGCTGTGTTAAACCAATGATTTAACATGACTTAAAAAGAAAAAAGCCACCCAGGAAAGCCGGATGATGAAATTTGCCACCGTTCAATTAAAAAGTCATCCTTTCCTGTTGTTCTGTGACCACTGGGCTTTCCAAGCTCACCAGTTTGTGCTGGGATGAGTGACTCACGAACCTGATAGGAAAATGCACCTGTTTTTAGCCAGAGGTTAAAGCAGCTCTCCAGTTTCTAGAGTAAACAACGGATGTATTTCTGTCCTTAACAGTTACCCTGTGAAGTCCAGGAACACAGGAAGGTTGGCAGGAGCAATTAGGTTTGAGCCAAGTTTGCTGAAGTCAGTAGAAGGTCTATGAAGTCTTGTGGTAAGATGCTCGTAGGTGTACATGGGATTTAGCCCATATCTTTTAATAGAGGGAAAATGGGAAAGAAAAGTTGGTCCAGTGACTGAGCTGGCTGTTGGGGACTCCCAAGTGCTGGAAGCTGTCTGGGACTTGTGTTCTCTCTGGCCCTGAGATTCCCATTTATGCACTTGGCCAAAGGGCAGCTGTTGGTCACAGAGATGTGGTGGCTATGGAGGCATTTGAGACTGTGAAACTGATCTGAGACCACAGTAATGGCAACATTAAAAGTGGCTAAAATATTTGGAAATGAGAATGTTGAACGTATCGCTATCATGGAAGTTGAGAAGTTCAATTAACTGGGAGTCACTTATTAATCCCAGTGTGAAAAATGTGATGGTTTTGATCTCCACTGCGGAGTGCTGAAAAGTGCGAACGCAACATCAGCTTATTGCAGGTCAGCGTTCAAGATGGTGTAAAAGCAAGATGGGCTTTAGCCTTTATTTAACTGGATTTAATTACATGCCTGAGCTTCAAAGTGCCTAAAGCCTAATGGTTGTTGACCTAAGGTCTGATTTAAAAAACAACAACAGTCTAAACCTTAAGCTTGTTTGGGAGACCATATGGCATGAGTGGATCATGTGATATTTCAGGTAGGATGTAAGGAAAAAAGTACCCAGTGTGTCCAAAGCACTTGCCAAGATTTCCATCTTCACTAAGAAGAATCTGGACACTGACCTTGCCTGCCCTCCATTTGTGGCTCAGGAGCTTGGCTGGGACAGATAGGAGAGAGGTTTTCCAACCACATCTCCCTGAGAAGTCTCTAGTGCCCTCACACTGTGGTGATGTTTTTAGAAGAAGAGGAATGCTTGAATTTTCAATCAAGTGGAAGACTCATATGACTAGGAAATCCCAAATAACCAAATTTTGGGAAAAGGTGCAGTCTTCAAGGGCTCATTATTGTCATTAAATTTTGTTTTAATTAGTGTTAGCATGTCAGATATTGTGAAAATTATCTATCTGTATTGCTGGCTGTGCTTGATTTCAGAGAACCCTATTCTTGGGCCTGGATAAAGATTAAAGTCTCCCTTTCTTCTTCATACAGTACAACATGGTTCCAGATAAAGTTTTGGAGAGAAACCATTAAAAAATAGAAACGGTCATAAAAAAAACCTGCTTGTGGAACTAAGACCTGACAATACATGGCTAAATGTAATTGCTTGTGGGAGATGGTTACGGGATCATTGAAAGTTTTTAAATTACTTAAATTACTTAATTATTGAATAAGCAGAACTGTTGAGAAAGGAGGATACAGCTCCAGTATGCCCCTACGTTAATGACCGCAGCATGGCTCTGTCCATCGCAGGAAGTCTGTGCCATATTGATTCACAGCCTTATCTAGCTCAGATGAAAAAGGTTGATGTAACAAATCACCAGCTGGAATGTTTTGAATTTCCAGTGCCTGTCTGGTGATTGGCATCCGCGCTGAGCAGCCACCCCAGGTGCTCCCACTTTGAAGATGATCAGCTCCAGACCCTCTCTTTCATCTCGGTCACATACCCAATTGAAAGGACCTTGACGTAACAGTGTCTGTTTCACATTTAAAAGAGAACTGCTTAAAAGCTGGTTAAATAATTTGTATGTGCATCTAAGAATGTCAAGGCTTTGGCCATATCAGTTAATTCTTGAAGCAACCCCGTGAGGTGGTCATTATCTTAATTTATATAGGGGTTCAGTGAGGCACAAAGAGTAAATGTTTTGCTTCGTGTCAGTTTTGTATCAGGTAAAGAATACCAGCCCTTACCAACCTCCATGAATCATCCCAGTGGGCTGACGAACATCCAGCTGCTTTGTCTCTGAACCATACAACTCATAAATGGCTTATTCTCATCCTCAACACCTTGCACCTCGTGCCCACTGAGTGCTACCAGGCACAGTGTGGTGAGGAAACCTGACGGGTTGCGCTGGTTCTGTGGTCACCCAGGGGAGATTTGTTGGCTCCTGCATGCAGCTCTGCACCCAGGTATGTTTATGGCATAGTCCTGGAGTTCCTTCAGCACATGCCCATTTTCTGGCACAGAGGAGACCCAGAACCATATTTATTTCTGTCCAAGGTCTCAGCCCCAATCACAGCTCCTTCAGAACCTCATTTTGTTGCTGCATGTTGAGCTGAGCTTCCAGCCGCTGGCTTTTCCCTCCACATCCCCTGGTCCTGGAAGTCCCTCATCATACTTCTCCCCGGGAAAGCTGGGGAACCTGCCTGTGCCTCCTGGGACCCCAGGCTGTGGGCAGCATCCCCCGTACCCTCAGTGACTCCTTGGGGCTGCCAGAGCCAACTGACTGTGGGATCAGGCAAAGACCAGCGCCAACACAAAGAAGGGGGCAGGGGACCCTGACAAAGGAATTTTTATTTTATTTTTTTACATTTTTATTTGAAATCTCAGCCTGCTTCAGCTGAAGGAGTAGTGAAACTATACCTTAAAACCATTCCTCCTTAAGGAGTGTGGAAGTTCCTCCAGGAACTCCAACGCAAGGAATTCATTTTGATTTTCTGCTATGGCCTTATCTTACTCATTTTACATATGGATGATCCATGCATGCCACCATCTCTCCAGCAGGCCTCCTGCTTTTGCTGTGCTTGAAAAATTCTCATCGTTCAGTTTTATGCCCTCAGCAAGTTGTTTTTCATCTGCTTGTACTTTATTATAGTTTAATATCCACTTCATCAGGCTGCATGTTCTTTTCCATCTTCCTTAAACCCCCTTTTTTCTTTTTACATCTCAGCAGTGTTACACGCTTTAATCACATTAGCTTACTTTTTCTTTTCCTTTGCATATTTTTATTTGATGCTGGGCCTGCGGTACAGCATCTTTAAACAACATTATATCATCTTCAGGTGCTTTACTGTTTTTAGCTTCTCACTTCAGTGAATTTCCACATTTTATGTGGTTCCCCTTCTTAAAGGTAAACATTGTGTTTGACATATTTCTGACAAGACGAGGTGATTCTTCCTTAGCTACGTCTTACAACAGATTCTGCCTGCCAGATGGGATGAACTCGAGTATAATTTATCCTCTTCCTGCAGCTTCTCTAATTGCTCAAAAATGAGACATTTAAGTTGCCTGAAAATGAGTTGCTCTGACATACCTGGTGAATCACATACAGATACAGCAGGATGAAGGGGCTTGCTTAAGGGGCTTACTTAATTGGGGCTTCATTTACAGAGACTTGTCTTCTCTGTTTTTTCACTTCAGCTCCGTCGTACTGTCCTACCTTTTTTCTTAACACAGAGATATAAAAGCTTCAACCAAATGGAGTGTTCTTCCATATTTCTTCCTTCCCACAGTCTTTAGTTTGAAACGCTCCTGCAACTCTAACTCCATAGCTCCCAGCTCCTTTCTATCTTGTTTACCTAGATCTCATTTTTCCTGTGTAGGCTCCATTTTTCCAAACAGCTTTCCCCTTTTCTAATGAACACTGCGTCGTCTGTAGCAATATCCCTGCAAGCTTCAAACATTTGTTTTGCATACGTAGAACTGTTTCACATCACTTGCCATTCAACTCCAGGCCTTGAAGCGCTCTCCCTCCCCTGCCCACTTGTGCTCTTCCCTTTGCCACAGTTAATAGCACAATCAGTCACGCTGGAAAGCTACGCCCCACTGATATTAGGAAATGCTCCCTGCTGCCTTGTAAATCTCTGGTGCCACCAGCAGCAGCCGAGGAGGAGGCATCCCGAGCAGATGGACTCCAATGCAAGTGAAATGAAAGCCACACGCGCTGCTGACCACAGCCACGTTGACTCGTGGTGAAGCTGAGCCCACTCAAAGCCAGCTGAGAAAGTCACCATTTGCTGTTCTGCTGGGAATTTTGGCTGCTTGGAGATTTCAGGCACATGCTGAAGTCTGACAATCTATCCCCCCTTTTATTCCCATCCCTGCCTGGTGTGGTTGTGGATAACTCCCCTGCCTGTGAGCAGCAAAGAGCAAGGCACTGCCTCGCCTCGCTGCCTTGTTAAACTGTACCTCTGACACTCAGAGTGCGAGACGGGGGTTTACGTATACAGAAGCTTTGTATTTACAGTGTTTGCCTCTTTGCTTAAATAGTTTCCTATCGTAATGCGTAGGAACTGATCAAAAGCAGGGTACGTGCACCTCCTGTCCCAGCGAACGAGATGAGCAGAGGCTCGGGGAAGGGGATGTGACACACGCAGCGTGTGCTTGCCGCGGTGCTGGGCTCCCTCTGATCCATCACCGCAGCTCTGTGCGTCAGACGTCACTCCAGAGCAGCACGGCTCTTTCCCAGGAGATAAGTGAGGGGTTTTTGCCTACACAACAGCTCTCCTGAGCTTTCCCATGCTGGGAGGGAGGGAGGGAGGAGATCCAGCTTCCTCCCTGTCCGAGCGCCAGCCCCGTGGGCCTGCCGTGGCACTGCTGGGAACATCCGAGGGCATTATGCAATTGTGCAGAGGCGGTTTTTTCATGCAGCCTGGCGAGGCAGCGTCTGATAATGGCTCTGCCTTTGTTTGTATCACACAATCGGGCTCACGATCTTCCCTCCAGTACAGGCAGCCCACGGTGTTATGTCCTGTACTTCTGCGATGACAGGCACAGGGCTGCACATAGGACAGGGAACCCGCGGTGCTTTCATCAGTGAATCACCTACCAGCTAGTTAGGCACAAATCATTAATGGTCTAAAAGGGCTGGAATAAGTAAGATCGGCTCCATTTCTGTGGAAGTGCAGATTGTGTCTTTTTTTTTTTTTTTTTTTTTTTTTTTTTTTCAGGAGGCACGGGAAACCCTAATTTTAAAAACAAACTTACCAACTTCGACTTCTGAGTAATGACACTGATTGCATTTTCCAAAGGTCACAGGGGAATTTTCTTCTGCCATCTCTAAAGGGCATGACAAATGTTCCTCTAACAAAGTAACGAATTGTTCAACACAATGCACTTAGCAATTACCTTGCCATAAAGGTATTTACAGCAGGTATGGTAAGATAAACCAGTTTGTTTCCTATTGTTTTTCAAAGGAGAGAAAAAAAAAAGTCTGTAACCATTTTGTGGTGAGTTTGAGGGATAAATATAATTTGATGTCTTCACTGAATGCTTTCATGGGTCTTAAAAGATATTTATAGCCTATCCCTTTTAAAGATCAGCAAACTTTCATTTCTGTATTCTGTGTACCTATTTAAATTTTATCCAAAAGCTGACCTTAAGGTATTCTAGCATTGCAAGGGTGATTAAAGTTGCCCATAATACATTAATTCAGCAGCTTTTGTGAATATTCATTCACATGTGGTCTTTATTTACAGGATCCTGAGCTAATTTGCCCAGTGTCGTTCTGCCTTCTGCATGATTCTCTTTCACATTTTGGGCACAGATTGGCTTTTAGTACGGTGGGCAAAGGAGTCAACCATGCAAGAAATTAGGAGCAAAGACTGTAGCACGTAACTAAATCTGGATTCAGCACAAAGATTACCAACATAAACCGAGATCAGTTTGGCAGGAGGAAAACCACCCCTGGACCAGCAGCAGCAGCATGTTCGCTGACCTGTGGGTTACAAGTGCAGTGTCACAGCAAACCCGGTTAGACGAGCGCTCGCCTGGCTCCCTGACCTCTCCTACTTGGCAGGCTTTTCTTCGCCTTTTTGACTGAGAGACCAACGTGGGAGTGAATGATGGAAACTAAACTGCCCCTCCAGCCCTTGAACTGCTCCCAGTACGTCCTGGTGCAGGTGCGCTGGCCAGGCAAGGTGAAGGAGAGGTCTCATCGCTCCAGCATGCGGGTAAGTACAGGCCAGGACAATCAGGCCAGTGTTTTTCACCAGCATGAAATAAAAATGAGGAGAACAGGGAGACACAGCCACCTTTGATGTAAAGGCTGTCTGTGGCTATGCAACAGGGAAGTGAGAGTACGTACTTCTGCTGTAGAAGAGGAGGGCAGTATAAGAGCTCTCTGGTTGAGCATCCCAGGAGAGCAGCTGTTTTCTTGGGGCTGTGGGCTCGGATATAGTCTCAGGCCAGAGACAGCATGTCCACAAAGGATCTCCAGCTTCTGTCTGAAAGTCTGGGTGAAGCGCTCCTGGCATTCCTGTGCAGGCAAATCCTCCCTCTCTGAACTTTCTTTGGCTTCACAGCCTTCTAGTAAGAGGGGAGATCTTGTAGGTAAAGCACCAAGAGCTAGATGCAAAGGAGAGAGGGTCTGTGGCTCTACCACCAAGGTCTTGTGCAACCTTGTGCAAATAACTTCTCATATCTGTGCCTACATTTCCAATCTGTAATATAAAAATAGCAGGACTTCTTCTCAGCCGTGTGCAGTAGTCCTAAAATATCTTCCATGGAAAACCTGCTAGTTATCGGGTTAATAGACAGTCTCACCCCACAGGGCACTTTTTTTCTCCTGCCTCTGTTTCTTCATGTTGTGCACAGGCTTTGCAATGACTGTCACGTGGGGAAAACCGTGATGTCTTTGTGTTAAGTACATTTGTGCCCAGCCTCAAAGCGTTATTTCATTCCTTGAGGTGGGTGCTGTTGTCAGGCAAATTAAATGTCCCAGTCCCCTGGTAATTATCATTAGGTAAGATTTAAGGAGAGCAGAGGAGGAGGTAAAGCAACTACAAGTGGATCCCACAGGGGAGGTCTGTGAACCAAGCTTATGTGAGCTTTAGGGCAGGGATGGGTGAGTAACTAGAGTAAAACTAACAATATAAAACGGTAAGATCAATAACTGTTTGCCCCAAATTTAACCCAACACCTTTTATTTTCATCACAAGACCAAACTTACCTTTTAAATCAGAAGGCTACGAGATTTGAGGCAGTTTTGCATGACCCTGCAGAACAAACCACAGATTTGGACGGAGCTAAAATGTTATTTGGGACTCAAGTCCAGCTGCCACCTGTGACTGTTTGCTCTACCCGTACTTCCCCAAGGTCTGGAGAAAGTTTTTAGATTTTTATGTTTACTACAGGCTTGATGTTCCCTGTATGGTACAAGGATTACTGCTTTTCTGTTCAGAAGGCTTCTTTGGAAATTTCCTAGCCGAGTAAGGAAGGCTGCCTTGGTCACGCCAGTTTTGACAGGAGAGCATCTGGAAATCCAGGTTGGTACAGGCACAAGCTAAGGAATGGCAAGCAAATAGCTGGTGAACGTTATACCAAAGAAATCAAGCGAGTGGAAAGATGTGACCTGGCTGGCAGTTAGTGGGAGGTTGATGAGGCACACGCATCCCAAAGAAAGCCCGGTTCCTCTGGGAGCCCAGGCCCAAGCTTGTTGATGTAAGAACTTGACACTGGTGGGATAAGCTGGATTTGAAGCTTACTTAAAGTGGATCTGGTAAACTGGAGTCATGGAAAAGAGCTGCTTGGGAGCTGGGGGGAGCAAACCTTTTCTTGTAGGCTCCAGCAGCAGGGGTGAAACGAAAGGGAAGGGCACTGGTGACGCTGCAGTGCTAAGGGCTCTGGGAATTGTGCTGGTTTTGCTTTTCCTCGCTTCCACCATCTTCTGTTCTCTCTGTCTCTGTTGTTCACCCACATAATTACATAAGATATCACCAGCTAAAACTGCATCTGCCTCCTTAATAGATGGCTCATTATCAAGGGAGGGAAACAGAAAGGGCAAAAGCTTTTGTGTGCCGACAGCCCTGCTGTAATGCACTGCCTTACAGGAGAAGGAAAGGGCGTAACCCGTTTGTCCTAATTTACAGCCAGATGTGCTAAAAGAACCAAGGTGTAATGAAGGTCAGTATGGCTGGGAATGGGGTGGAGGCGGTGCAAGGTTACTGTCTTGACATAAAAGCAATTTATTCTCCCATGAAGTCTCTCTCTCATTCGGCAGAACAGAGTAAGGCAGTTCTGGTATTTAAAAGTACTCCCACGGCTTTGATCTCTTCCTCCTTTCTGGAAATGTAAGCTTGCAAAGAGGGTCTGGCCCTGTCTGGGATGATGTACTGGGCCATGTGGTGCTGGCCTTGCAGGGGGGCATAGACAAGCCTGCTGCTCTCCATACTGCATCATTCTGGAAAATTCCCCTAATACCCTGGTTGCTGCAGCGATGCCAACACGCTGCTGCAGTGCCCGGGTACCCTGCCTGCTGAGAAGTGCCGTGAGCTCACTCCTTCTCATGACAATTTCTGTCTGCTTTTGGCCACACACAGGATATCCAGCTACAAACGAAAATTAAAAAGCAAATGGGAGAGAACAAGGTCTCCTGCCACAAATCCACCTCCAGGGACCCTGAGATGTGAGCACACGCAGCCACGCTTGCTTGAAAGCCAGCCTTCAGCCCTGCACATCCTTTAATGTCAGGTATGAGCCACTCCAGTCAGTATATTGTGGCAGCCTACTCTAGACAAGTTTTTCTTTTATCGATATTTAAAATAAGCAGTTGTTTTGAACTCAGGACAGAGCCGTGTTAGTGCCAGATATCTGGCCTGGTTTCAGTAGAGCTGGTGGCAGACGTGTACTGATGTAACCATGCGGTGGTGGGTTTCATGACACCGCCTATGCTGTGGGCTTCCCCAGCCATAAAAATCCATCAAATTTTGCAGCTGTAGTTTCGTTTCATCTCACTGTCTGCGTAACCTCCTTCTTACTTGATGTTCTCTATTTCCCCTATGCTTCCCGCGTAGAAAGTCTAAGCTTCCAAGTTGCGTTTTGAGAAAGTTTCAAAATGAACTTCTCCTTTATGTGCGATGTCCCTGGGTTTTGGTAATAAAATGTGCCAGGGGGCGGGGGGAGAGGGAAAGAGAAGGCTTCTCAGCGGGGGGGGAGTGCTGATGACTGTAATGAAGTCACAGTGTAATATTCTGCTCTGCTGACTTGTGCCTCCTTTAATTACTTTCTGAATCCCAAGAAGCCGAGCCATGCTTTGCCTGTTCATTACGTCCCCCGGGTTTGCTCTCCCCAACAAATAGGTGCCCTCCCTGCGGTCTCTGGAGGCTCTTTGTTGCTGCTCTGGTACATCAGATGTGTTTGCTCTGCGCTGATGTTTGTGTTTTCCGCACTGCTTGTGTTTTCTAATTCCTTGGAGCAGCGAGGATGCTGCTGAATTGTCAGAATCACCCTCAGATGCTGACTTGAGGTTATTGTCAATGGCCTCATTACGTTAACAAGGGATATTTTAAGAAATACAAAAGATGTGGCATTTACTTTCTCGGGAGAGGGAGAGGGCAGAGAGAGAATGAATGTGTGCAAATGAATGGACTTCCCCTGCAGTTTTTTTCCTACATCCCCCACAGCTCTATTAGAAGCAACTGACCAGCTCTCTCCCCTCTGTTTGCTAGCTGGAGCAACACTGGCCTCTGATTTGTGTGCTTGGCTCACCCGTGCATGCAAGGCAATGCAGCCCTTCCTCCTGAGGAGCTCCTCACCTCCATCCTGGGGCGTCTGAGTGCCCAAAATGGGCACAGCCTTCACAGACTCAGCAATGAGACACCAGCTTTGCATCTTACGGCAGAGGTGTGCCAAGGCTGCTCTAGTGTTCTTCCCTCCTTGGAGCCAGCAATAGCATTGGTGAGGCTGGAAAGTGAGGTGGTTTGGGAAACTGAGCTGGCAAAGAAGTCATGTTATGAGGAAAAAAATAATTTGCTATGTGCTTGTCTTCTGGAGAGACAGAGCAATGCCAACAGGAGGTACCTGTGTCCAGGGCTAAGAAAATGGAACCCTGATCTTCTCTGCCCTGATGTGCTCTCTCCCTTGAGGGAGAATATCAAAGGGGAGGATATAGCCTGCAAATCTTCTATCTTAAATGAAGAGGAGACCTTTGCACAACCCACACCTCTGAATCAAAGCAGCTCCATTCCCTTCCTCCCTGTTGTCAGGCCGTTGGGAGGTAGTTGGCACAGCACTTATCAAAGGAAATGTGGTCCTTTCCGTGAGCTTGTCTACTCAGTGTTATTGTGTAAACAGAGATCAATAAGGTGACACAAATCCTATCCTATTAGCAGCATTCAGCAGCAAATGAAGTACCCTTAAGTTTAGCATATTATCATTTCATGCATTTTACAGTTAAACTCTTAGATAAGATTAATTACTTCCAAGGTGAGTGTTAACAATTGTCTCCTCATAATTGAGTTTGGGACCAGTCCAGCACGGCTTTACATCACCAAAAGAAATCACAGACAATTTCACAATCGGATAGAAAAGCTTTATTTAACAGGCCTCATGTTTCTTCTCTTAAATTTTCCTTAAGACAAAAATAGCTCCCTAGAAAAGAGCATATTCAGCACTGATGGTGAACTTGATAAAGAACTTATCTACAGCTGGGGTTTTTATTTCATTTCTGTTTCTTCAAATATAAATATTTGAGGCACCCTGTTGGTCTTCTGAAGCCTTGTTTTCTGTCAGAAAACGGTGTTAATGTTGGATGGAGGGCCCAGATTGCAGTGCCTGTTCCTGACAGCTCTTTTCTGGACACTCAGCTGATGGAGGCAGTGCAAAGCAAAAGGGAGCATGCTGCAAGGAACAAGGTTCAGAGCTGGGCGGGATTTCTCCAAAGGAGGTGCAGCTGCCTGAGAAAGAGCCTATGACTGCTGCTCAGGCGAAGCACTGACGTTAGCCTGAAGTGAGCAGGCTCCCTGCTCTGCTACCACCCACACACCTCAAGCGTAGTTTGACCAGAACAGCTGCTTGGTTCTGTGGTTGTGCTGCCCTTACGATGTAAGGAACTGGAAGCATTACCTTTACAGGCTAATTTCCCCCACATGGGACAATCACTCATTTTCTTTCTCAAGGCAGTGTGCAGGGAAGTTGATTACTACTCATTGTAATCAACTTCCCTGCATAATCCCCTCATCGCTCACTGCGATGGGGGATGGAGCCCAAGCAATAAAAAGCCCACAGCTACACCCTCTAAAAGCAACAAAGAAAAGCCAAAATTTCAAGATGGGTGGTTTTTGATGGGTGGCGTGAATTCTGAGTCTTCCTGCTGCCTACATTTTTCAGTCCTGTGCACTAGAAGCCTATGTTTTTACTCTTGCTATTAGCTCATGAGGGTCTTAGATATTGCTCTGACTCTCAAGAAGATGAGTTTTCTGGAAAACACCTTATTATCACAAGATATAAGCGTGATACAAGATCTATGGCAGAAGCCTTGTTTGAGTTACTGGATTGTAATGCAAAAAACACAGGCGTTAGGTAGGAAGTGTGCAACTCCCTCGCAATCCTTTCCCATTTGGTGACGAGCTCTCATTTGCTCCCTAGTTACAAGATCACGAAGCAGTTGTCTTCTCGTTTCTGAAATATCAGCAAACCCTCCTCCACAAAACTGAAAATGTTTTGAATAATAAAATGAAGGGTGAGATTTTTCAGGCTTGGCTGAAAACGACCAGACCCCACTACGACGAAAAAGGATGGGATCTCCACCTTGTCAGGGTAACCCTGCTTGGGAGAGCATAGCTGGGACCTTTCAGCCTGTCATGTGCCAAGAAGTGACAGCGGCAGAGGACCTCTGCTGTGACTGCTGGCCGTGCAGCTGGATTTGTTTCAGAGAGCTCCTGAGCTGGTCTTCTGTGGGTGTCTGACTGCGTCTTGTTCAGATGCAAGCCAGTCACCTGAGTTAACATCTCTGCTTGAGAAGCAGCTGCAAGATTGATCTGTAACAGGACATAAAAGGCATTGGCAGCATTGTTTTACTGCAGAGTTGATTACACACAGCGTACTCACATCGCACCGCTTCACGTTCCAGGAGGTGTTTATCTCCTGGGTGAGGACTGGCACAGTGCTGTACCACGAAGCCTGGTAGAGCTGACTAAGTGGTTTAGTGTAATCCTCCTAAGAAAGATTGCTGTCCTGAAGGGATTCCTGGGAAGGTTCTCTGCTTGTACCAGGCTTTTAGATGGCTTTCAGTCAGGTTCCTGAGGGGCTTTTTGGAGTTTGTGCAGCTTTTCTGTGATGCAGTTCCTTTCCAAGAGTTCCTCTTCTCTCTGGGTTGTGGTTGGGTCAGCAAGGTTTGTCACAGGGCTTGAAAATAATTGGTGTCACTGTATGAAATAAAAGCCATTGTGTCATCAGCTGATTAAGCTATGTCTCTGGCAAGTAGGCCACTGCACCATCTAGGTACCTGGAATAAAGAGCAAGCAGGAGCTCCTCAGAGTCACAGTGTTTGAGTCCTATATCCTCTCCTCTTAGTTTGTTACTGGCCACACAGTGAAATTCTGGGTAATGTAAGAAATATGGTCCCAGTTCACAGATCTCAAGTGCAGGGAAGACCTTTGCAGTAAAATTACTAAGTGCAGTTTTCCAGTAGGAAAAGAAAGCAGGCACTCTCTGTGTTAGAGTGATATTGCTCAACTAAGGTCATACATGATAACAAAAATAGAAGGTTGTACACAACAACAAAGTAGAAATGATGGTAGCTGCAACACGAGCCTTGATGGTGGGGGAGATTTTAGTCCAGATATAAAGCATATCCTTGGGGCCCTGGCAAGGATGCAAACTTCTCTCCCACACAACCTCCGTCACTCTTGAAAAGCCAAGTTCTGGAATTTTAAAAGGCAAAAATATTACAGCAACAGCAACAACAAACATGCAAATCAGATGTTAAATGACTACTAATGATTTTATCAATGTGTTGTGTAAACAGGAGGAAGAGGACAGAGAAAGAAGCACTCAACATTCTTTGGGTTTATTTTTTAATTATTCAACAATTATCGATGAGACTAAAGCAAGCTAACATTGGGGTTTTGCAGGGACGTTTCGATTTTATAATGGAAAAAGCATTGCGGTGTTTGGAGGAGGTGGGCACGTGGACTCTTGCAGTACAAAAGAAGCCGACATAAGAATCAAGTTTCAAGACCCTGTGGGAAGTTAGGGTTTTTGTCTAGACAGCTAATTACAGCTTTTCTTGCAGGACTCAAACATTCAGGAGCACCTACAGCAGATTGCAGCATGCACTGGTTGGCATCCCAGAGCAGTACCCATGGGGTGGTCGCATGCCCATCCCATCCCACTGATGGTGCTCCAAAACAGGTACCCACCACGTGCTCTGCTAGGGCAAGCAGAGATGTGGCAACCATGTGAATGTATTGCAGGGGCTGTTCACTTTTGGCTCTCCAGCTCAGAAACAACCCAGAGGGAAGATCAGACAACTGGGAGACATAATTGCTCTGGCCACCCAGCTGGGCCACGCGTTGTGTGTAGGCAATGGAGCTGCCACAGGGAAATCGGGGCAGTTGGTGCAAAATGGCCAGGGCTCCATGTGTGCAGAACTCCTCTTGCTGCTGGAGCAAGCTGCAAAAAGCACCGAGCCTTGTCAGTTATTGCACTGACGTGTCATGAACTTTATCCTTTACATTCTTAAAAACCTTTGTATTTTACTGCTGCACTGAGAACTGTGAAAAATGCAGGTCCCTTTCCTCACAGCATTGCAAGTCGCTCTGTGGATCATCCTGTCCAATTTTTCAACTCTGCTCCCAAGCATTAAGATTTTCAAGCCTTTTCCCCATTGACTTCTCTCTGGGGCAGTTTTAAAAACAAAAAAGCTACGCGTTTTTCAGAGTGACTTGCTCCCCACCTTTTACAATTGTTTCTGAGCTGTGGTCTTCGCAACTGGTCGATGGAGCCTAATTAAATTGTTCAGCTGACAGACTCATTGGCTTCGTGCAGAGATATGCTGACCCCGTGGAAAATTTGAAGGTTGGCAAAGGTCACTAGAGAATCACTGACTTACCAGGCATGCCACATGCAGCACCTAAACGCACATATTTGAGCACAAATTTAAGTATTTTTTACTTTTAGTTTTTAGAAATCACGTTGCTTTGCTATATTGTCTGTGCTTTTTCTAGGTCTGGCCATTTTCTTTCTGTTGTTAAGAGCGAAGCACATCTCATTTGCTGAGGAAAACAAAAGCTCGGCTGGGATCATTACAGCTTGTGCTGCATCCAGGCCGCTGTTCGACCCCGTTTCCTTTGGAGATGAAGCCGGTTCGAGAGGGTCCCCTGGCCCCGAGCCCTGCTCCCCTTCCTGCCCATCTGCTGCTGTGAGCTGTGGTGGCCTCTGCTGTGAGCCCCGTCACTGGAAGGATTTTTGGGAGTTTACAGAGGTTGATTTAATCCTGGTACACACAGCTTCCCAGAAAAAAAAAAAAAAAAAAAAAAAAAAAAAAAAAAAAAAGCAACCACCTAGCAAGTTAAAACAGATGGTTATCTGCTAGATTAGTGAGCTGAAGGGAGTCTTACAAGCCCCAAAGCCAACACAAAAGAGAAAATGGGAGCTTCATCCTGGAGCCGGGGATGCAGACGGGGATGATGAGCAAGACCTGGGGGAGGAAGAGCCTTGCCCGCTATCGGCTGCGGCAGGCTGTGGGATTGGCTCCACCATGACGTGTCGTTTCACTTTCTGTGTGCCATTGGGGTTGAAAATAGCCCTGCTTAAAAAAATAAAAACAGGTTGTGGCTTGGGTTTGGCTGGATTTTGTGTGCGCAAACCGTCAGCAGCTCCAGAGCCTGACCCCACTGCTGCTTATGCTGGCCCCAGCAGAGGAAGCCATTTAGGGATGGGGGAAGCAGCAGGGGAAGGAACTAGTAAGGAGGACGCTGCCAGAGTGAGCGAGGGGGATTCCTCGAACCCCTGTGTTGGAAAGCCGTGACATCAGCCACGCTGCGCAGCCTGGCTCTCGCTTTCTGTTCCTGCCGCGGCGAGCGAGGGGGATTCCTTGAGCTCTTGTGTTGGAAAGCCGTGACATCAGCCCTGCTGCACAGCCTGGCTCTCGCTTTCAGTTCGTGCCGCGGCGACGTGCCACCTACTGCACCCTGCTCTCACCAAAACCACAGGACCTGAGGTGTGTGGTGCACCCTCTGCTCCGTGTGGTGCTGCGGGCTGTGCACTCGGGAGCACGTCTGCCTGATGGCCTCCCCTGACGTGGCCGTGACGAAGGCAGCGGAGGCGCTGAGGCGAGCAGGGCCGCCAAACACGGCGGGCAGCTTCCTCTGAAAGCAGAGGCCATTGCCTCCTCCGCCCCTGACAAGTGTGGTGGCTCCGCTCGCACGGCCTTTGGCACCAGCAGCAGGTCCTCCCTCGGCCCACCAGGCCGAGACTTTCTGGAGGCTGCGCTTTAGCCAAGCTCAAGCTGTGAGGCTTGAGAGGAAACACTGGGTGAAATATCAAAGCTCACACCTTACAGGAGGTCGGACTACGTGACCTTAAGTCCACAGGCCTTCCCTCTAACATGGGAGCAAGCTCAGCTTTCATTTCACTGCTGGTTGCTGTAGTGAGCAGGCCCCAAAATGTTTCTGTCACAGCCATCATGGTAGTCCAGGCTTTTATGCCACTGAGCTTTGAAGAGGGTTGGCCCTCCTTGTATTGTGGTTTATTTTGATTTAATAGTCATTTTAACCACCGGTTTGTGATTCTTGATAGTGCCACCAGTCCCCGGTCCTTTATAACCTGGATAACCTGTCGTGGGTAGCTTTGCCTCATGCCTGCGAGACATGGAGTCCTCTCCCATGTTTGATACTTAGGAAACAAAAGCACAGACAGATCTTTTCAGAAGTAAGCTGTGTGTTAGCTGGAGGCATGGAGCTAGATCCCTGCTTGTCCACAGACACACTTTGTCACATCACTTACATGCCTTCACTCTTTGTTTTTTTTTTCTTTTTAAATATAGTCTTAAGTCCCTACATATGGTTTAAAGTACCAGCCTACCACTGGAGTTAATCTAAGGATGTAGGATACATCCTTAGTAGTAGGATACATCCATACAGTTTTTAGTTGTATATGAGCACTTTGGACAAAGCATCAGATTTTTTGGGGTGTTTTCATCCATAAAAAACAAAGCAACAACAATAAAAAGAACATACTGAGGCCAGAAACCAAACTTGCTCGGGAGATTTGTGGTCCAAGCAGGAAAGAGGACTCAGATGTCCTGCGCTCTTAGCATTTAGCCTTTTATTTAAACTTTCATTCCCTGCCCCTCAAGCTGTCTGCGGTGCAGGCCATTCTTCTTCTCTCCTCCTAACTGTAAACTTCTAGGAGGTCTTTATGCTTGTCAGGATGAGCACGTAGACAAAAAGACAGGACCAGGACTGAGCATGTGGCGCTGAAAAGAGAAATTCATCTGTGCAGCGGAGCCCAAGCTCGATGTTGGTTATGGTTTCTTCCCACCAGCTGGTCCGAGTAATTACATAACGTGGCAAGCCAAGTCCTGCTTTGTGTAATATGTAAATTTGTTTACAACCATCTTTTAAGGCAAAGGAGATACACACTGCGTGTCCTCCTTTAACAGTACTTCTTTTAAGAGTGCAATCAACTAACTATTAATTAGCTGGTTGGCATAACAGTCTTAAAGGAGGCTGTGCCTGTTTTCTTTCTCCCCAGACCACGCGGCCTGCCCCGAGACCTGCCTAGCCCCGGTGTCAGGAGGTGATGGGGCAGATGCCCTCTGCTGTGCCTGACCTTTCCCAAGGCATGAGTCACTGCTGAAGCACCCCTGGGGTGTCTGACACTTGACACAGAAGGTGTACGGTCAGTGCCTCGGAGCATCTCCTGGTCCTGGTGGTGCCTGTGCTGTTTTTCCCATGATGATTGGGAAATGCGTGTGGGATAGCTTCATACAGGGGACCAGCTTGTGCATTGCTGTGGGTACTTATCACTGTCGACAGGGAAAGCTGACATGGTATCCCTGCTGTCTTCTGGCATGACAGGAGGTTTCAGTGTAAGGTAAGGGAATGAGGTCAACCACAGGCCCTGTCAGCTCTGCTTCCTCGCAAGCAGACATCGCGAGTTATGAAGACAAAACCCCGGGGAAGCAAGGACTCCACCAGAGAGAGGGAACAGGTGGAGGAAACATGAAATATATCCCAGCAAATCCATTATGGACAAGTATTAGCACTTCATCTGCAACGCATGACATCGTATCACTGTTCCAGCTGCTGAATCTTTGAACCGTCTTGTGAAACTCGTTCGAAACCCCAGAGGGGGATTTAGGGCCTGAAGCTCTCCAACCTGTTTCAGCAGGGGGTTGTGGGCAGTTCACAATTATTGGCAGGACGAGGCTGATGATCTAATGCCTGTGCTAGCAGGAAGGAGGCAGGCTGAGGCTGTTGTTTAGGGCTCTTTTTAGGAAGTGTTAGTAAAGAAGAGCCCATTTGTCTTTTTCCCTGTGAAATACAAAGCAAGGATGCAAATCAATGCACACGCACACCTGTGGGTGACTGACTTAATGGGTTGTTGTTGCCTTATCCACGGCACCTGCTTGTGTAGCTGTGACACCCAGATGTGCCTTGGGGATTTCACTTGCTGCAAAGACACATCTTGTGCCGTGTGGCATCCTTGAAAATCTCTATGCTAGGCAGAGCAAATGCAAAAGTAATGAGGAGGTGGGGGCTGAAATGAAGAGGCTGGTGGGAAGGGAAGGGAAGGGAAGGGAAGGGAAGGGAAGGGAAGGGAAGGGAAGGGAAGGGAAGGGAAGGGAAGGGAAGGGAAGGGAAAAGATTTTGGATGCCATTCAGGATAAGATGGCTGGATAGAGATAGCATGGGAGTATTCTAGAGGAGGAAGGGCAGGGCTGGTGGGAGATCGGTGATGCTGTGAGAGGAAACCAATGCCATTTGTGAGCTTAGGGAAGGAAGTAGAAGGATTGTAAGGGTCTTGACCCCATTGCTTTCTCCCCGTGGAAGAGAATTCCCCTTCCTTACTGGTGCAACATCCTCCTTCCTGCTCAGTCCCTGAACTTTAGGAAGTGCCTCTACAGTGGAGTGGTCTTGGCAGGGAGAATTTTTGAGGGTCTCATCTGATACATGCAAAGCAAGACTGTGGCATGCCCTAAAGGTAAGCAGCTGCTGGCCGCTGTGGGGTTGGACGTGACTGGGGACCTCAGACACTTCATGGTGAAATGAAATGGGAGCTCACAGATCTGCAGCGAGACGAAGCATGGGTGTCCTGTTCTGGGAGGGAAGGGTCAAGGTATGTCCACGAGCACTGAGCACAGATATTTAGCAGTGTGGTGCGATGCTGTGTGCCACCTGATGAGTCCCAACACCACAGGGGGTTGCCAGTGTCTAGTGCCACAAGAGCACAAGCATGGGAACTAAGTCAGATCCTTCGTGCTAGTGCAAGCAGGAGCCTGGTTCTTCTGGGTCTAGATGGTCCAGATGGTGATCCAGCCCTGCATAACAGCAGAGAGAGCAACTAAGTCAATTGCAGCTTCAACAAGCATACTCTGCCTCCGCATAGCAATATTGAAAGAAAACATTTAATTTAAGAAAATTTCCACCGTCTAAATAAAAGCTGCTCTGGGCTAGTTTAATTTGTGTTGTAGCTGTGTTTATTTATCATGTGACTTGATGTTACAGCACACACTACGCAAGGGTATTGCCACAGCAACAGCCCTAGCACATGCCACGTTTTCTGCCTTTTGAAATGCAAAGCCTTGTCTCAAAGAAGCTCCAGCGTGCCCTGGCTGATGGAACTGCATCCTTTTGCATGAGAGTTTAAAAATAACACATGCACACAGAGCGGGTTCAGCAACAAGACATGCTTTGCCCTGGTTCTGCAGCTTCCTGAGAGCACAGCCGGATGTTTCCAGGCCATGTCAGGGACATCCCACCCAGGAGAAGGAGCTGTGGAAGGGGTAGCAGAGATGAGGTTGATCAGAGGAGGTGGATGGAGAAATGACTAACAGCAGAGAGCTTTTGTAGGAGGCAGCTCCAGTATCAATGTGTTGTTACCCATACGATTGCTGCAGGTTTCTGTGTCATTGTTCTGGTGCCGAGTGATTGTATCTCCACTCACTAAAAAAAGAGATGGCAAGAAGTTGTGCTGATTTGAAACCTGACTCAACGTTTTTAATTTCAGAAGAAACAAAAGATGGTTGCCTGCACCTGGATCACCCATTGCCTGGCTTACAACAGACAGGGCTCTTTTCTTCTGGGGGATGCTTGGGGCCATCTGGGACTTCATCCATCTCCTTCATTTTTTATTGTAGAAGATTGGTAGGTCTTCTTAGAGCACCAATCTATAGCGTATCCCCTCCTGCTTTGTGGCCTGGTGCAAGGCAAGGCCAGCCACGGTCCCTCCTTGGGACATTTTTTCCAGACTTTACCAGATCTGAGAGCACAGAAGGAGGAGAAGCATTTCTCCCGGCCCAGCTGCTCACTCTTGTCTATATTTAAGTCCAATTCTCTTGTAAGAGGGCCGATAGATTTGTCACTTCTGGGTGGCACGAGAATGGCAACGAGGGAGCAGCTGTTATATTAAGGAGAATCAGATGGAAATATCAGGTGGCATTTTTCAGACCAAACAATAGGAGATGCTTTTTTCCACACAACTTGTCTTGAGCACTTGAATGAAAAATCCACCAAGAGCTATTAAATGCAGAGGCACTATCTTTGGGTCAGGAAGTGTCAGGTATTTCTGGGGAAGTGTTACTGGAGGCTTTCCTGGGGCTTATATCTTCCTTAGGCATCTGCGAGTGGCTGCTGTCAGGGACAGGATGCCTGGCTATGGCCCTTGGTTCACTTTTAAGTAAGGCCGGACAGGTTGGCTGCCCTTGGAGCAGCCTGTCCCTGACACAGGTACAACACCCTGCTTCAGAAATCTCCGTCTCTCCCCAGCTCACCTGCAGTTCTCTGCCTGGAAGGAAGGTTTCCATGCAGGATTTTGCCCAGTGGTGGTGAAGAAGCCCCGGCCCTCACAGAAACCTACACACCTTTGGAACAGGATGGTTGTTTCTGGGGAAAATCTCACAGGGCCACAGGGTGGGCTGTTACTGTCTGACCTGGTCCTGGTCCAGTTAGCCTGGCCTATAATGTGTGAATGGAGCTTTGTTTTGCCAACATGTCATTTTCCATGTGTTAACACAGTCTTGGTATCCTCATACAACATTAAAAAAAAAAAAAAAAAAAGGCTCTGTCCAGGACAGCATCTGGCAATTTGCTAGATCTTCTAGCAAAACTTGTAGGTTGCTCAAAGTGGCAACTTATCACTTGCATCATTGGTGCTAGGTGTAACCAACACAGTTTGGATTTCAAAATGAGACTGGTGAAGGAATTCAGAGAACTCCAAATGGGTCAGGTTAGCTGTCCTCCAACTTTTCTGGCCTTACACTTGCCTTACACTATGGAAAAGAGTACAGGAACAGGAGCAGGTGCCTAAGAAAGCAACGTGCTGGGTTTAAATAGTTCAGTGTATCTAATGTGTCCGAGATGTCCAGTGTGGTTCTCAGCTGCTGGTGTCCTTTCACTTCAGCTCTCCAGAAGTGCTGCCAGCTCAAGCTCCAGCTTTTCACCACCACCCGTTAGAGCCTGCACAAAAAAATAACCAAACGCTTTGGGAACATCTGGGGTGAAGTCTCATTCTGTGTGAAATAACATTTCTACTCTATCATATTGGTATCAGAGATGAGTCAGCTTTGTAGAAGCCATAAAAATGTAAGCAGATGATGATTTATTTGTTTGTTTATTTATTTATTACAGAGGAATACTTCTCTCCAGGGAGCAAAATCAGTGCCCTTGTATTAAAGAACTGAGAATCCTTCTGCTGATATTTTGGTTTGACTTCTGCTCCAGGCTCTCAAACTTCTGCTCAGGTCTCTTGCTTTACTCCACGATTACTTTATTTCTGGAGCAGCAATAGGAGGATGACTAATTTCATAGGTAATCTAGAAATGATTTCTCTTTTGCAAGAAGACCAGTTGCAAGCAGGAAAGACTCGATCACTTGGGAAACGTATGCCCCTTAGTATATATCCAAACGTTCCTGGGCCATCATGGTGTTGGACTTGAAGGGGACAGTTTGGTGCACCCAACCTCAAACTGAGTACCAAAGCCACATCCCACAGCTCAGTCATTTCCCCTGGACTTCTGGCTGCTGTTCTTCACAGGGTCTTGAGACTGAATTTACACCCTGCCATGCCTCACTGATCCTCTGCATTTTGGCACTCCTGAAACATGGCTTTTGAAGATGAAGCAAGCTGCTCCACTGCCAACGGCAGCTTCCCTTATTGCCTGAGGAGCAGCAGCACCAACAAACCTCCGCTGATTTTAGACCAGCACCTACCCAAGGTCCTGCATATGTTACTTTGCCACTCACGAAGCTGCGGTGGTTCCAGCATAGCAGGGGAGGTTGAAGACAGGTGACATGATAGCCCGTGAACCAAAGCCAGATTCTGCTGTGCGTGGCATCTGCTGACACACTTAACTGGCAGCAAAGCCGCATCCCAACTCATTTATATCTGATTTCTTGGCAAGGTGGAAAAGGTAAACGTTGCTTCTTTACAGTGATGAGGTTTTTTTCCACTTTTTTTTTTTTTTTTTTTTGACAAGGGGAAAATAAGCTCTACTGAATCAGTGGAGAACCTGCTTTAAATGTTAATGCATCTACAAACTAAACACCTGAGTGCTCTCTTCTCCCCAGCTTCTGCAAGGGAGTGGGAAACGAGCAAAGTTAGGGGAAATGAGCAGAATTAAGGTGAGCCTGGTCCATCGCAGAAGCCACAGCCCTGTCCTGTCACAGCCCAGCTGCGCAGCTATGGAGGGCAGAGAGCAGCAGGTCTCCTTCCCTTTCCTCCCATAAGTCAAACATTTTCTGAATGTGCCACTGTGACAGGAAGCAGGGCTTTGTCTTTGCAAATGCCATCATGCTAAATGATCCCTCCTGAGTGCTCTGGGATGGAAACACAGGGGTGGCTGGAGCCGCAGCCACGTGCAGCCTGGTGAGACCTTGGCAAAATCCCCGTGATTATTTACAGAGGAAACGAGAGGCTCCTCCAGGCCTCTCTGCAAAAGATGAACTCAATTAAAGCTGTTTAATATATGCCTGGTGCTGTGTTTCATGCTGCTTTGAGAGAGCCCTTCTCTGCCATGGAAATGGAAAGGAGTATTTGCTCTCAGCCTGGCAGGGCAGCGCCTGCGTGGTGTCACCTTCCAACACGAAATGCTGGTACAGGACCCGAATTCTCATTCTCTCCTTTCTACAGGGAGGATAAAAACACTGTCTTAAAGGCAGATGGGTGATGCAAGTGACAAAAACAATACCTCATGCCTTATTTCTTGCACACGTGCAGAGCAAAAAGGGGGATCCCTTTGGAAGAGGAAGGGGAAGGGGAACTCCCTGCCAGCAGCTGTCCAGCTCCGTTTGGCCACCCACTGCTCACAGGCACCTGTAGTGCTGAAGGGCACCAGCCTGGTTTCAGTGTCCTGGTTTTCTTCGCTCTCCCGGCAGTTCCACCCCACGCCCCACCCGGCAGCGGCGTTAATTACGGGTTGGGGATTGCGTTGGGCTGCACGGCTTACAGACGGGAGCGGTGTGGGTCACTCTGCCAGGGCAGGTGAGCCACGGTCAGTGGGACGCCGTGACACACCGCCCTGAGCCGGGGCTGGCCCATGCTGCGGGCACAGGGCAACACAGGGAGCATTGGGCAAAGTGGGGCACAGCTGGGGTGGCAGGCTGCATGGAGGGGAGATGCCTCATTCTGCGTGCTGGATGCAGTGAGGAGGGATGCAGCGAGTGATGCCAGTGCAGGCAAGGTCCTGGTTTGCTGTAAAGCAGCTGCTGGGTTGCACTTGTCCAAATAAACCCCAAGGGCATGGCTCTCTTAAAGGCTTCCATCCCTAGTCTTCCTCAGGATAGTCTTGGATCTGGTTATGGGGGGCCAGGAAGCTGAGGAGAGTCCAGGGATCACTAGGGGAAGGTGCCCCATGTACCCTCAGAGGGTTTGCTGGTTGGCAGTCCTTATCTGTTTCCTAGTTTCTTCTCCTGAATACTGGACCCGGCTCGTTGCAGCTGGGTGCAGCACTGCCCAGCTGTGTGAGCCATGAGCCCTTTCTGCAGGCTGGCCAGCCCCCAGCCCATCCCCTGGCCGAGGGATCAGCACCAAAGCCAAGTGACTCTGGCTTCGCAGCCCAGCCCAGGGCAACCACAAGGCTCTTCTTTTTGTTGTGAAAGCTAATGTAAAAAACGATGATAAACTAAATCTAGATCTATGCATCAATTATGTGGGATGCCAGACCTTGCACCTGTAGCATAATACATAACAGAGCCAGTTAACTGCCTTGTCTAATGATTGCTCCAAACAGCACACAAATCTCATTACGCAGGGTGAGCTGAAAACCATTTTTCAGTCAAAGCTGATGAGCTTGCAGAGAGTTTCTTTGCCCAGCTCTCTCTGACTGAAGGTTTGTCCTCTTCTCCTTGGAATCCTTCCTGTTATTTTTCCACCTTCCTGTCGCAGGATGCAACGTTCATTACAATAATAGATCAAACTTTGAGTGGAAAAACTCCTCTCTGCAGTTGTCTTCGAGATTTCCCAGCTTCGTTCCTGTTTACTGAGCCGCAGCCCTGACCCCTCAGCTCGCCCTGCCAGGTACAGCGTTGGGATAACACAGCAAGGCCAAGCCCGGCCTTTTGGGCCACACAACACACAACTTTTGGGCCACACAGCACACAGCTTTTGGGCCCAAAACACACAACTCTTCCCTGCTTGCAGAAGGACTTGGGCTGAGGCCTGCGGAGGCACCCTGAGGCCTGGTGGTGCTCAAGCATCCTGAGGCGCCAGGAGCTCACACCACGGGCTGAAACACACGGCAGCAGCTCCTGGGCATGGCTGGGAGGGAACATGCTCTGCTGCTTCCTGCCTCTTGCTGCAAGCAAGGTTAAGACATAGAGGAATATTTCCAGAATCATATTAAAACCAAAGTCCCACTACCAGAGGTTCTCGGTACCCAGCTCACACCTAAGACACAGATGTGGGCACCTAGCGACGAGATTCTCCTCACCTACTATTAATCATGAGGTGTAAACTGGTGGTTTAATTCCTCCTGTAGTTAAGGGAGAGAAGCGCCTATAAAAGCCAGCCCACCTCATCCTTTTAGCTGTTATCTTAGGATGGGATAAGTCAGTCTCTGAGGTACCTCTGCTTAGCAGCTCAGAGAACTGGAGAACACCAAGCTCATAAACATCAAGCAGCCAAGAGCAGAAGGTGAATCGCACCCTCCTGATGGAGCCTTTCTGTGAGCTTAACCCAAACTTAAAATTTCTGTATTCATTTCTTAACCAGGATAAGGCTTTATAAACCCTGACTGGATAGCCTGCTTTGCCTCTCTTCCCCTAAATGATTTTGAAGTCTGGTCAGAGGTGTTCCCAGCACGTGCTCAGGGTTCTTGGGTGAGATGCACAGGAGGAGGTGTTGAGGTAGAAGGGCAGCACCAGTGCAACTTTATTTGGAAAGGATTTTGTTGACAGGATTTCTGTGGTTTCTTTTTGCTTGCCTGTTTCCGGTTGCTCTTATGTTATCAGCATGAAAATATTAAATTATTGGACCCATGTAGCCAGTAAGACTAGCCACAGCTATTATATAATGTCTGGTTGCAGCAAACATCTCACCGATTATTTCTTTGATTGCAGTGCAAACGTAACCTGTGTACAATATGTGGGTTACCAGGTAGAGTTATGTCATGACTCAGGATGAGCCAATATCTTAAGCAAATGTTAATGAAGGGTGGGATTTTCATTAGTTTCTCTGTATTGACCTGTTTCAGTTCCTACCAAAGGCAGTAGCTGAAGAGAGCTCCTCTGCCCTTGCTCTTTTACCTCTTCACCAGCTGTTAGTTGGCTCCTGCAGCCCAGAGCAGCTGCTTCCCTTGCCAGCCACAGCACCTCTTGACCACATGTAGGGGATGAGGGAAAACATCCTCCACTGGGTAAAGAAGGGGTGAAAAGAGGCCAAAAAAAAAAAAAAAGGTGGGGATAAATGGTTGGTTTTCACTGTGGGTGGTTATGGACCAGGCCTCTGCAGCCCAGACCAGTGACACGTGAGAAGATGCTGTGAGAGCTCTGGAAGAGGTGTGCTGGGACTGGTTACTCCTGGCTCCTTGCACAGGAACATGTGCCTTCATTTGCTGGAGGGACCCCTGTTCTTCCCAGGGTGGCTGTTTCTTTCTTCCATGGTGTTAGACAGTCCTAGGCTCCTTCTGGATTAAAAACAGAAGCTTTGAGCTCACATTTTTTCCACAAGGAAATAACAGCTATCTTGGGATCCTGCTTATACAACTGAAATAACTTCTGTTCTCCACCCCACTGAAAGGCAAGCAAAAGGCTTTTATGTCCTTTAGGATATTAATGAACAGGGCTTCCTCCGAAGAGAGGATGTTTGGAGCACTGCTAAAATCTCCACTCAGGAGAGGTTTGGCCCATTGCACAGGGGACAAGCAATTTTACACAGCCTTCCCAAGCTAATTCTTAGCTATTAAAAACCACTTCACTGATTTCAGTACCCTTTCACCTATCTATCCTCTGCCTGTGCCTATTTTATGATTTTTTTAAAATATTTATTTATTTTTTACCGCAAACAGCACCCAGCTCACCAAGAAGCAGAATTAAGAAGCTTTATGACCTTTTAAAAAGGGAGGGGCATTCATTTGTGGTCCCAATTCCACCTTGCCTTTGAAAAGGGAAAGCAGTTTCTACAGACCACAGCCCAGCCCCATTACAGAGAAGCAGATAGTGCAAGCTGATCTAAACTATGGAAAATAAATAAATGGATAAACAAAGGAGAGGTTTAAAAAGTAGCTTGCTCATTAGCAGATAAATTTTATGCTAAGCTGAAAGCAGATCGAGGAGCAAAGCCCTGCTCTGACAGCCAGTCCACCCTCTCTGCAAATACCATGCATCAGGTAACAGAACCAGCCTCATGAATCATTGCCTAGTGAAATAAATAAATAAACAAAAAGCTCACCGTGGTGATGGAGTGACTGACTGGGTTTTAAGCTGGGCTGCTCGATGCTGAGGAGCTGTGTGCAGGAGAGGGGATGGGAGCCCGGTCACCTGTGGTGCCACGCGAGCAAGAGGGATGGGCAGCGCGCCAGCTGGGTTTTTAGCCTCCATAGAGGGTTTCAGGAGTTTCTCTGCAACTGAGAAGCAGAAACCGTTTGGATTTCCCTATTTTGAACCCCTCCTTTCTATTTTCTAATTTAGGATGTAATTAAGGGATTGTTTTTAGAGAGTACACCAAGAAGAACCTAACAACAACCGAGCCCTGCTGTGCCTACTGCTGTAACAGCCCCAGAAGATGCTGCAGATAAAGAAAGCTTTCCATCTGCATTTTCACTGCTGTAAGTGCTGATTTCTGGCAGCAAGCAGGCAGCTGCCTGTTTTATCCATCTGGCTCACGTGGTGGTAGTGTCAGCAGGAGCTGGCAGGGCCGTGCAGGACACCTCTTTGTCCTCCTGCTTCCATGTGGGCTAAGGGATGCTCAGTTCTCTCTGCTCCCCCGTGCAGGGCTGGCTCGGTATTTTTGGCTGATGGGAAGCAGCTGGCTGTTAAATGAGCAGTGCTGTGCTGTCCAAGTGCCCCGAGGTGGCTCCTGGGTGGGAAGGGTGGCTGCGTGCTCGCTGTGGGCTGCTGGGGACAGGGGTCATGCAGCTGCTGTGTGAGGGCAGAGCTGGCTGAGCATGTTCTGCCAGAGGTGGATGCTAACTGGGGTTTGCTGGAGGGCGAAGCAGGGCTTCGTATTGTGAATGCACTGGGAAACCTGGACTGCGCCGCCCCAGCTTGGGAAGGATGCTGGATGCATCCTACACAGGCGTTACAAACTGCCATTAGCTTTATCACCCACAAATTCTTCACAATGGTATGCAAAGTCAGCTTGGCAGTAGCCCAGAATGTTTTCCACGTTCACATTTAACTACTACACCATCTCCTTGGATTCTCCACTGCTGCGTATGGGACTTCTGAAGAGCACCCCAGGATATAAACACCTTAAGGCAGAAAGGGTCTTTGGGGTCTGTTTACCCAGTACATGGCTTCCTGCCAGTCTGGCCAAAGGCTGCAGTCCCTTAATGCTTCCACATCAGGGAAAGATTAATCATAATGCTCAGCCTGGCGCATGTCTGGGTGATGAATCCTTCCCACACCTCTGCAGGACCAGTGCATGCAGGAGACCAGTCTTGGGGTGTGACTTTACCCCACCAAAACTCCACAGACGGTTTTTGTGCTCTAAGCACCTGGTAGCATGCACTGCTCTCAAGGTGCAATAAACTCTCCTACGCTGTGCTTGGGCTTTGCATGAGAAGCATTTTGCCAATGCCAAGAGGTTTGTGCTCTGAGAAACACTGCCCCTTTGCACAGGTAGGGAAAATGACATATGAGCAGGGGAGAAGACCAAGTGTCTAACCAGCTGTAGGGAGGGGAGAGGCCTCCCCAGCCCCAGCAGACGTGGCAGTCGGAGGCTTTGCCCCCCATTTCTGGTGTGCAAATGAAGTAGCAGCCTAAAGAGGAGGCAGCAGTGAAGTGTGTGCTGTATCTGCAGGGACAGAGGCCCACCAAACACAGCCTGGCCCCAGCTGGGTGCTGGAGGTGGCCCCCTGCAACCTCTGCCAAGGAACTCGGCCTGGAATGTGCAACCGGCCAGGTTGGGCTAATGGAGCTGGTGCAATGTGAAGGCTTAGTGTCTGGCTATGATCCTCCCTTCTCCTACTTCCTTCACCTCCTCTGGGGTGTGTCTGCACCGAGAGAAGCCGCGCTGACCGATGGAAGAACTGAGCTGGCTAAGCAGGAAGGTCGGTGGGGAAACCTTGGGTCACCTTGCAGGTCCTTGCAGTGGTTCAGTGAGCCCTGGGCCTATTTTTTTTTTGGCCATTTTGCTCTATCCCATCTACATCTGCTTCTCCATTCTGGGATCTGGGGTTCTGCAGTGCAGGGAGCAGGCCCGTGGGGGAAGGCAGCAGGCATTGCGTTATGGGGTGTGGGCAGGAGCAGCAGCTCCTGTCCACCCGGTGAGCACCAGCTCCTGCCTCCATGCAGAGGTGTGGGTGTTGCGGGGAAATCAAAGCTCATCCCCGATTTTAGGAGGTGGAGGCTCGGCTGAAGGGAGGGGAAGCTTACAGCCAGCACCTGGCTCTGCCTGCACTGGGTTGTGAAATGCAGCAGTGCGCCAGTGTCTGCGCCATGCAAACACCCCAGGCAACTACTTCCCCTTGTCCCCCAGTGTGGGGTTTCCATGTAAAGAGGCTACACCGGGGCTCTGGTTCCCTTCTCATGTCGAAGCCTGCAGGGGACATGGTTTGCATGTGTCTCCCATCAAAGCAGCTGCCTTGAGGCTGCCTGCAGGACCGCAGGAGCTGGGCTGGGAGAGCACCTCACGCCTGGTGGAAAACTGGGCCTGGCCCTGCCAGGTGGGTCTCTGGGGTCTCGTGGTTAAATCCAGGCTCCCAGGACCCCAGAGCAGCATGTGAGTCCAGACACAAGTGGAGGTGGGGTGGTGAGAGGGTTGGACAAGGCTTCGGCATGGCTCTGAGCATCTCAGCCTCTTCCACTTCGTGGTCTGGCCACTGCTTCCCCGAGAAGGATGGAGGAGATAATACCCGTGGGTTTGATGCAGATCTGGATGCCTTCCTGCCATGCATTGGTTGTTTGATAAGCAAGTGTTTGTAGCACTTAGGCTTGACTTAGATATGGCAGGTCCTAGTAAGAAACTTGTCTCAAATGATTTTTGGTAAACGACCAGCAGCAGTTAGCTGTGATGTGGAGCAGTTTCCTATAGTGATCACCTTCACAGCGCTTGAACCAGTTAGATCCATGCCTTGTGCTTTACAGCATTTTTTTGGGCTTTCCAGACAGCCCAGACTTAGGTGAGTGGCTGCAGGATGTGTGATACCCCAAGGTAGGGGTGCCAGAGGGACTTGAGGGACTTGGGCTTACCCTGGGGAGTCCTCATGGACACTGAGGTTTCCAGCCTTGCTCCTCTGTGCGCCTTTTTATTTATTTTGGCAAGCATAACTTCATCATTACATTTTATTCTGTAGGTTTAGGTGCAATTCCATTTTCTTGATCACTCCAGTATCATCTGATGTGGCTCCACCACGGTGAACATTTGCTCCTTGGGACTTAGACATTGCATTACTGTATCCCCCAGCCCCCAGCGTATCCATCTCTGCTAGCACCTCCAGTCCGGTTGCACAGCGTGTTTTATCTGCAGGTTCCCATTCAGCTTGGATTTTGCAGCTGATGTTAAGCCCTGTTGCTGGTGATTTCAGGAGGAGCTGCAAGCAGTTGGAATGGGAGGGAACCTGTCTGGGTGCAGCCGGTGCTTTGAGGCTCTGCTCTGCGTTAACCTGCCCGCGCTGGGGCTGCGAGCCCCTTCGTTTCCTCAACCTTTTCTCTGTGAGACTGCTGGCCATGCTCACAGATCAATAGGGCCTTTGTAGCCTTCCCCAGGTGCTCCCTGCCATCTGATGCCTGCTAACATGCTCTGAGCAAAGCACGGGGGCTCAGCTCCCTCGTGCTGGCTGGAGAGGCGCGAGGAATTAGTTGGCAGGTTTTAATCCACTAAAGCCTAGTTAACGCTGTCCTTGTGCGCTAAGCTGATTATGATAACTAAGCATGCTGTGTCTTAGCAGACGCCTGAAATCAGATCAACCAAATGCAGTTAGACTAGCCAGGCGGCTCTTTCATTATATTTCCCCCCCCCCCTTTCCTTTTAACTCCTGCGTCTGTAAGGCCGCGCTGGCTTTGCTGCGAGGTCGGAGCCGGATTCGGTGCTGGCGGCTGGCTGCCGGCCACCTGTGGGGGCAGCGAGATGCGAGGAGCTCACGAGGAGCTCAGAGGCTCACGGGAAGCCCTGGTAGCCACCAGCTTGCCCTTCAGTGGCAGGGGCTGTGTGGGCTGGCTGGATTTGGGGGAGATGCGTGACGCGGGGAGGCTGCAGTGAACCCAGCATCGCTCCTGCTGCCCCATCGGCAGCATGCGGGGGCATTGCCTTGTTGCTTGTTTTGCAATTTTAGGGATGTATCTGACTTTCTAGAGACCAAAACATCCTGGCTCACTGATGGTCACCTCTTTTGGGGTTTGGGCACAGGCCCTGGGAGTAGGCCCTGGTTGGGGAGGATCAGGTGTGGTGGGACCTCCGAGTCCCACCGGCAGCTCTCTGCTTGGGGTTGTCCTGTTCCCCCCCCACCCTGCAGCTCATCCATGTGACACTATTCCTGCAGACACCCCAGGCCTGCGGGGAGGGTTCCCAGAGCCCAGCAGGGCTCCCGAGTGAGAATTTCAGCATTTCATATCTGAATGCAGGCTCTGTTGAGCGGTGGGGAGAATAAAGCTCCCATTTAGGATATTGCTGCTGCCTAAGAGGCTTTAGGGATTGTTAAAACTCTTGTCTCTCAGGAAGTAGTCTGGCTTCATCTGTTGCCAATTAGAGCCACGGGGCCTGGGCTGGGTGCTTGCAGCTTGCTGGCGATGCTGCCCAACCTGGGGACACGCATGGGGGTCACGGAAGAACAGAGAAAGGGGCGAAGCTCACACCACGAGGAGAAGTGGAGGAGGTTGGGATGGAGAGGAAGGACCTGGCATCATTCAGCTCAGTCCTGGCCTAAATTAGGGCTTCTGAAGGGATCTGGGGAGCAGGGGGAAGGCAGCGATGTGGCCCAAACCCCTGCAGGCAGATAAGTCCTCGCTGACTTCTCTGGCCACGGGGCCACTGCAGCACCACTGCGCTTTGTGTTGGCCTTTGAGCTGTGAAAGCCTCAGGATTGTTCCCTCTTCCCATCGTTTCCAACCCAAAGACCCAGCAGACAAGCTTGTTGGCTTCACTGTGCTCTCCACTTCAGACGCCGAGGCTGAGAGGCAGCCCATGGCCTTGTGCTTGCTCCCAGCCCCAGCAGCCCGGGCTGTGCCCACCTCTCCTCGGTCCATCTCCATCCAGCAGCCTCCAGGTGAGAGGCCTGGCCCCTGCCAGCCGGCTCCTTGCCCACCCAGCCGTGCCTCCTCTCAGTGCCTGCTCCCCTGGGTCCTATTCTGCAAGTGTTGACTCATCTCTGGTTTTGCTCCCCTGATGTTCTCAGTTCTTTATGAAACGGGGACACGCAGGCGGCCAGACCTCCAGGGAGATGCCCAGGGTATCCTCACTGGTTTATAGGCTCTTCTGGAGAGATACCAGGGCAGTGCGGAGGGGCCCAAAGCCTCTCGTTTCTAGATATGCCCCTGGAGGACCAGCGGGCAGGGGAGAATCACAGCTACAGGAAAACCCAGATCTCAGCAAAGCCTGACTCCTGATACAGGAATTACTGACAGGGAACGTCAGGCCTACTGGGTTTGGGGATCTTCGGTGCCGTGCTGCTCCAGCTAATTAATTGCTGTAATGAGGGTGAGGCTCTTATCAGATCCAGGAGGGATTCTGCCGCGGGGGAGAGCAAGGGGAGAAGGCGAAGGTGGATGAACGTGCGGCGAGTGTTTTCTCACGGGAGATGGGAGCAGACCAGGGAGGTGATGTGGGCTGGATGTCCCCAGTGACAGAGGGGCACACAGCATCTTTTCAGGCTCTGTTGTGAAAATAAATGCAAGGATCTGAGCCCAGCTCTGCACAGCCCCGAGAGCTGCGGGTGTTGGGTGCTGCTGGTGCTGCGGGTGTGCTGATCCCCTGGGGCTGGGGGCAGAAAGCGTGGGGCTGAGCGGGCGTGTGATGAAATCCTGCACCCTCACCCCACTGTGGGATTGCACCACGGCTGAAATCAAACAAATTGGGGGGAGCCCAGCTGCTCTGCCTGCCGACCGACCCCTCTCGGATAGCAAAGGGGTGCCCAGAGCGGGGGGCCCTGTGCCAGGCTCTGTGTCCCGGTGATTTGTGCCAGGTGTAGCAGCAAGGAGCAGCTCTGTGCGTGTGTGATGGTGTGGGATAAAAGCGTGGGTGGCCAGGGGTGTTAACGCACTGGCAGTAATTCCCAGCTCCGTGACAATGAACCACTGATAGTATCACACATGCTGGGCCAGATCCGGCGTTCCTCCTCCTGCTGGAGACCCTGACGAAAGCGGTGGGAATCGCTATCTGAGAGCGTGACTGCAGCAGCGGGCACATGGTGACACCCTGCTGTTCTTATCGTGCCATCTCTGCCTCTCTCTGGCACTTTCCACGACTTGCAGAGTTCCCCCCTGTGCCCGTGGGATCCCATTCCCACCAGGAGGGCTGGAGATATGGGTTCCCCCTAGGGCAGGGCTGGCAGAAGCACCCTGCTGCCACCACCTTGCTCTTGCACTCGGCGTTTCAAGAATCTTTGATGACACGTTTCGGGTTTATCCTAAAAATATTCAGCTAGTTTACAACTGGTGCTGCAAGCACGCAGGAGGACGCCCTTGTCAGCCTTTACGTCGCTGTACCCACGAAGGAGCTGCGTTCCCAGGGGAGCACAGCGTCTCCCCCATGAAAGGATGTGCTCCTTCCGCCTCCTCGTTTCACAGTAATAAAAGGGCAAGTCTAAAGTATTAAAAACACGGGTTATTTGTAGTTACGATGCAGAGGGCTGCCAGTGTGCCTGAGCATGGGACGCCCATGTGATCCCCGCGCCTTTGGATGGCGTATGCGGTTTCATGGCCTTTACGGTATGACTGCCCGGCCCGGTTATTCCCAAGCCAAACCCCACAGCTTGTACTTGACTACAGCGTTTCTTGGCTTGGAGACATCAAGAGAGGGAAGCTCCACCACTTCCTTTGGTAGCTCGTTCCAGTGATTTGGCAGCCTTACTGCTGAGATTGTGAGGCTCATTTCTCCCATGAACTCGTTTGACTTGTGATTCCCCTCGCTGCCTTTCTGTGCTGGCCTCACCCACCACGTCCAGTGGAAGAGGGACAGTCAAGGGAGAGTATTTCAGGCTCAAACTCTAGCAATCCAGCACAACTTTCTACAGACCTGCAGCTTGTTTTCTCCAGGGAAGTGGTGGACAAAACACTGGCTGCTGAGCCAGCCCTTCCGACTTGAAAGGCTTGACCTCAACGCTCTCCTCCTCCTCTGCCTCCGATTCCGTAGCAAGTTCTCTCCTGCAGCTAATTTAGAGGGAATCCCCTGCTGGAGGAAGGAAACAAAAATAGAAAATTCCTTTTGAGGAATATGCACTGTGCAGCTAACCCTGCTGGGACCACATTGTTAGGGGGAACCTTGCAGCAATCAGGCCCACAGCGTCAGTGTTTTTCAGTTTTGCAGCAGAAGCTGTCTGGCAGCCTGCTGTACAGATGCAACCCAGTCCTGCATGAGAGCAACAGAAAGTGCCTCCGTGTGAGCTGAATTACAGCTTTTATAAATCCTTTGCAATGCACATTTCAGCTGAAACAGCCTTGCAGTTAATCACGCAGACAGAAGCCTGCTATACCAAAATGTAGGTCTGACATCCTCCAGTCTCTGCTTCCATAGCCTGCCTTGAACTGTTCTAAATGCATGGAGGAAAAAAGTTGAAGGAGCTGAGAGATTTCCCGTATCTTGATGTGTCTGTTGTGTGCTGGCAGAGACACAGCTACAAGCTGCAGCTATCAGCAGTTAACAGCAAGGAAATATCAGCACAACTGCGTGCTAATGGGCTTTGTCTCCCACTGACCTGAGCTTACTGGCGAGCTAAAGGGATGGTGTTTGACATGACAGCAGTGTGCTGCCTGGTAATCCCACATGGCAGGGTCAAAACTCACATCAGTCATTCCTCTGGTTTGTCTCACAGGGGTGCCTGAGCTGCCTGGATGCGAGGGAGGGAAGCACCTGCAGCAAAGTCCTTAATGAACATTTTTGGGGAGGCTGGGCTCCTGCTGGGGTGCGTGGTTACCTCTCCAGGGAGCCCAGGGGGGCAGATCAGCGCCTGCCTCCCCTGCTCACCTCTGTGGGATGGGCTCTGGGGCTTCTCTGTGTGCCCAGCGTGAGCTGATGCAGGCTGAGAGCTGCAAGGCACAGCTGTAACCGTGTGCTGCAACTGTCCTGCCACCACGGCTGGGGTGGGCAAATGCATCCTGCCCGGTGCCGAGTCTGCAGTGAATAGAAAGTGGATAAGTGGATAAAATTGCCTGCTGTGGAAGATGGGTGCTGAGTCCCGGCCTCAATTGAGTGAATTGGGTTTGGTGGTTGCTTGGTGGTGGTTTGGTTTTTTTTTGGTGGGCAGGGGGTGGTTTGCATGTCTATGTGCTTATATCCAGGTACAGTAGCCTGGAGGACATCAGGATCAGCCTCAGTTCTCATTATCTGGTGAGCCAGAAAGCTGTCCGGTTTCTGGCTGGAGGAAGGCATTTCTCACAACAGTTTCAAGCCCAGGTCCAGGTGAGATGTGCATGTGGTCCCCACCACTGCCTGCCTGAGCTCCTCTCTCCCTGATACGTATGCAGTGATCTGTTGCTCCCCGTGCCCACTTTCATGCAGACACCACCACAATTTTTCCCTTACCATCTCAATTTCAACCCCCCCCTTTTTTTTTTTCCCACTGTTGCACAACAGGGTGGCTTTGAAAGGAGCCTTTAACTTAAGCATTAAAAAACCCCAAATGAGCATGTTCGTGTCTGGCTGCAGAGCATCTAGCACGATTCCCTGTCGATGCATCCCACAGGAAACAGAAGAGATGGGAACAGCGGGGCGCCCACGCCATCCCTGTCCACCCTGTCCCGGGGCTCATTGCTGTGTGTCACCGCTCTCCCCCCTTCACCCACGGCCCGGCTGCATCAAACCCCGAGTGTACCCGGCTGGGAGCACGGCTGCCTCAGGCCCCTTCCTGGTTTCCAGCTCTTTTGCAGGGTAAAATTGAGCCTTTGTCCTGCTCTGCATCATGAGGCCGGGCTTCCTGCGGGGAGGGACAATGCCCTGTTGTTCAGGGCCAGCCTGCAGCGAGCTCCCAGCACCAGTCCCTGTGGTCTGGGCTGAGCAGTGCGGAGGTGAGTGCTTGTTTTAGGGAAGGATGCTACCTGCTGCTGCTGCTGGGGGCAGTGAGCCCATCCACCCCTGGTGAAGGGATCCAAAGCTGGTCGGGCTGAGCCCCTGGGAATGATAATCTGACCTGGGGCAGTCAGGAAATTGCACAGTGAAACATCTTCCTCGTGACAAACTTCTTGTAGGTCTGCCCTAGGCAGGGGAGGACTTGCACCTCTGCTCCAGGCCCCTCCGAGGGGCTCTGGGCCACCAGGGTGGCCAGGGCGGGGAGGGAAAGCAGACACTTGGCCTGCCTTTGGGAACGACTCAGGGTGTTGCTAACCTGTATGTAGCTCTCCTGTGGCTTCTCCCCTCTGTGAACACACGGATGGGAAATGCGCAGGCGGTCCTGGCGAGCCGACCTTGTGACAAGGTGGAGTCGCCATATGGTGCCACCATATGGGAAGCACCAGCCCAGCTGTGACTGTCTCACCCTGCTGCTGCTCGACAATGCCCCTTTTCCCCCCCAGAACGAGGGACAGGATGGAGGGAAGCCCTTTCCACATCCCTGTCTGCCCTCCCTTGCTCTCTGTGCGGGTTTGTGCTCAGAGGCGTTGCACCACGCATGTTTCTTGGTGGGAAACCGGGACGGCCTGCTGGCATTTCTGGGGGGGCACACAGTGCGATGGAGGGGGTCCTGTCACTGAATTCGCGGCTAGGTGCAGTGCCAGGCACAGCCCTGAAGCGGTATGGCTTATTTGATTCCTGGAAAAGCTTGAGGAGCCCTTACTTTGTTCCTGGGGCTGTGAGGATAAAGGAGGTGCAATGTGCACGCCATCACAGTGCAGTGACCGCTTTCTCTGGGATTGACCTCCCAAAGGGAAAACCCTTTTGTGTCTCTCTCAGGCTCAGGTGCCCAAGACCTTCCCAAATCAGCCCAAGCAAAGAGCTTTTCCCCTTCCTGGTGGATAAGAAACGTGCAGTAAGCAAACAGAAGCTGTCAGGGATTCAGCCAGTGCAACGTGCATTTGATGTCCCGATTCCCAAGGCAGCACTGCTGAGGTCCCTATTTTCTTCAAGGTTTCCTTGTTGTTGTTTTTTATTATTATTTTTTTTTTTTTCCCAGCTTTGGGACTCCATATTCTACAGGGTTAGTGTACAAACCCTCTCTCTTACTTTGCCCATAAGATGCCAGCAGCGCTGGGGCCGAGCACACCCTTACCACACAGAGCACTTCCGCGAGAGGAACGAAATCTCTAACAAGCCAGCAGCGCTGGGGAAGTTTTAGTTCATAAAGATGCTCAGGAGGGCCGTGCCATCAAAATGATACAATGTGGAAGCCACATCCTGCCGGCTTGGCTAATCTGTAAAAGAGCTTTCAGTGTTTTCCCTTGGAGTAACAGCTTTAAATTTTAATAAGCTGCAGTGTACTTTCACCGGATGTCATAAGCTGATACAAAGTTTAAATGAGGTTAAGCAAGTGGGAGCCTAGGAGAAATGAATGTGAGATGTAAATGATTTCCTCCCTTTTACAAGTTCACTTCACTGGGACTATTTTGGAAAAAAAAAAAAATCAATGTTTTTTTTTCCTTCTCTGGATGATTCGACGTCAGCGGAGGGAGACAACACTCGAAGTAGTCACAGAGCAGCTCCAGCAGGACGGACGCTTAACAGAAGTGACACAGGATATTAATCAAGTCATTAAGTCACGTTACCTTTGTCATTTAGCAGATTTTGGGAGAGCTACCAAGTCACACGCTGCTCCACACAAGCCTGTAAAACAAGGATTTGTAGGAAGACTCCTCGAAAGGTCACCCGGCCCTACCCCGGGGCAGGATCAGCCCTGTGTAAGTCTTTCTGGGCAGGCGGTTGTGCAGCCTATTCTCGGAGCCCTGGGAGGTGGAGAAGCACAACCAGCACTGCCACTGCTCGTGTCCTCGCCTCCCAGAAACATCCCTTGTCCCCGAGCTTCAGCTTGACCTGCGCTTGTGGTGCCCCCGGTGCAGGAGGACGTCCTTCCCCTTCGCGGCTATTGGCGGCTGCTGCCACTTTGCTCTTCTCCAGCCAGCCAGCCAAGGCCTAGAGCTGCTTTGTGTTTGTTTTCTCTTTGCAATGCAATGTTTTTTTCACTGGATATGATGATTTCGTTGGCTTCTTTCGAAGTAGCCCGCTGAAATGGCTCCCTGATATTCTAGGCTCAAAGCATGAGCTGCTCCATTTGGAGCCTGGGAATCGTTCCTGCACCCAGGAGCTGTACTCTTGGTGGAGTGGGCATAGTAACACGCGCCGTGCGCTGGATTATATTTACGTGATTATACCCTCTAGGCAACAACCTGGTGCTTAAGAAATGAGTCAGCCAGAAAGACCAAGGCAGAGGGAATCAGATTTAGCCATGATAAGATTAGCTTCCAAAAGATCTGGACCGAAGCAGCCAGCGTTTCTCCAAGATACGCTCTTCCAAATAGCCAATTACGCCGCACATACAGGGATATTGTGTGCCATTTGATGGCTCCCTGCAGTCTGAGCAAGCAGTGGCCACACACGAGGACTGGGATCTGCAGGGGCTGAGCTGGGACAGGCGGGCAGGACCGGCAGGAGATGTGGGTGAGAGCCCAGGCGAGATGCTGACAGGGGGCCGTGGGGGGCTGGTGGCATGGAAGAGGAGCAGGTTCCTGGGAAACACCTCCAGGGAAAGGGAAGAGATGGGACAAGAAGGAGAAATGCGTGCGGGGAAACAGCAGCAGGAAGAGGAAAGAACAAAATGAGAACTGGCGAGTTGATAAAAGAACAAAAGGGCTTTGTCTCACATTAAAGGCAGCCAACTACAGAAATAATTTTCCCGTGTAAGCAATTACTGCGGCTACCCCAGGGATGGCACGTGGGGGCAGATAGGAAGAAGGCCTTCTTCATGCTCATAGCTGGTTCCTGCGAGCGCTCCGTCGGTGTGGCTCTGGTGCCATGTCAGGCAAGAGGAGAAATTCAGGCTTGCCGTGCAGATAGCTGGAATCCCGGCTTTAAAAATGGCCAGAACAGGAAAGCAGTGGCTCCTAAAGCGAGACGTGAGGCTCGTTGTATTCCTCTTGCACCCCTGGAAGAGGCTGCTGAGAGCAGCTTGCAGCTGTGGGGGAGTCAGGTAGGCATGAGTCAGGTGGAAAGCAGACGTAAACCCAACGCTTACTTCCAGCCTGATTTTCAGAAGCGCTGAGTGCAGACAGCCCCCGTCGAGTCGATGCACTGTTCAGCACAGCTGGGAAGCCAAGCCAGGTCTGAGAGATGCTCGGGGCACAGTAAACCGAAATCCAACTGGGTTTTCCTAATTGCATAGTTTGTGGTGTCTTCCTAATTACATAGTTTTTATCTACTTCTTTGGGAATAGTCGCAATTACAGATCTGTTACAGGCTGTAGATTTAAAGTAAAATACGCATGAACTATTTTTATTGAAAATGCCCAAGCAGTTCATAATTTTTTACAAGTTTTCTAGGGAAAAAGGTGTTCCAGTTCTACAGCAGATCACATCATAAAGTGAGAGGGATATCTGCCATGTGTCTGTATCTGACAGCACGTTTCACCTTCTAGAAGCAGATTTTGACCATGAGTTATTCTGTTGAGACTGGGAGATATTTAGCCAGGGTGGATTAGTTGGAATCTGTCAATGGTGAGCAAATCATGACCCGGATGGGATCTCAGCTTTGCTCAGCTGTCCTTAGCCCTGGATATGATTAACCCGTCCCCCAGCTCCCACTTACCAGCACAGACTTATCTCACTGCTTGTGCTGCGAGTGTTTTGACATCAGCCGCTCCAAATTAGAAGCTGATGTTATGGAAAACTTAGTAACATGAACGAAATGCCAACCCATCCTCTCTGCTGCCTGGTACTGCGCTTTGTTCACCCAAGCAATTTCTTACATTTCACAGCCACCCAGAGGACGTGGGTGCAGGATTATGCCCTGGCAGGGACGTGGTGCAGCTCTTGCCCCAAACTTGGACACCGCGATATTTAGGGTACTCTCTCTGTAGCAGCTTGGTACTCTCTTTTGCTCACAAAGAAATAGTGTTTATTTATTTATTTACCTGCCTAAGCTCCCCTTTTAACACTCATATTGAATTTTAGTCCCTCCAAAGAGCAGGATTTTGCTCTTTAGCAGTGCCCACTGGCTGCCACCCCATGGGTGAGTGATTTCAGCTGGGGCAGGGGCCAGCAGTTTGCAGCAGGAGCCCAGGCCTGGTGAGAAAGCCCCTCGCCTGCAGCAGGAACAATGAGCCGGGAGGGGAGAGGGGAAGAATGAACTAGGTTAGGGGAAATACAGGCTGAAAGAAAAGGAAAGGACCAGCTGATCTGAAAGCCCCGATAAAAGCCCAAGACAAAGGACAAGGGAGCCTGGGAGAGTATCAAAGGGAAGCGGGAGGAGGAGCAGAAAGACCCGAGAGGGGATGATGTGGAGCGCTGCATCGGGGTGAGGGGTTTCGGGGTTTCCTTCCCAAAGCAGAGGTGCTGAAAGCCGCTCAGCCTCCTCCATTTACACGAACCCAGCCCCTTTCTGCCCTTTTGCTGGGAGCCCTGACCACCCGAGGACCAGTTCCAGCAGGGAAACGTCGGGCCCGATGGCTCATCCTTCCCGAGTACACCGAGTCCTGGAGCTGGTGGGCAGAGAAGTCGGGGACTGGGCACCCTGCAGCGGGAGGGAAGCGTTGGTGCTGCTGCTAGCACGGTTATTTTCTTCTAATAAAAAAAGGTGGGCATGACTCACTCCAGTAAGAAACAAAAGCAAAGCTGTAATCTGCTGAAAGGCAGTTGTTTGGATGCTCCGAGTGAGGTGTGTAAAAGGAGGAAGGTCAGCTGCAGGTCACGTCCCATAGGAGCACACCCCCTGTCACCACTGCAGGCCAAGCAGCGAGCCTTCCCCGGGGAGTTTATTTTCTGGGCTGGTAAAATTCAACCCCCCCCAGCTTCAGCCTGCTGTTTCAGCCACGGGGAGCACGCAGGGGGGGAAAAAACTCTCCTTCCCACCCCTCCCCGTGCGCTTGGGTTTCCTGAGAGGAAATGATGCTCTCGTGTGACCGCGCTGGCCCCCTCCTTCCTCCAGGGAGGGAGGAAGCGCAGGTTGTGTTCGCACCGTGCCGGGGGCTCCTTCTTGTGTGAGTGGGAGCAAACCTCCCCCCTCGGGTGCCAGATCCCCCACCTGTACTAAAAAAAAAGCTCTGGGGGGAGTTGGCCTGCCCGTGGTGTGACACGAAGGTGAGGGTTTTGGCACGGTGGTGGCAACGCTTCTCCTGGTGGGGAGCAACCAAACCCAGCTGGAGGCGATGCCCAGCTGTCCCCGCCGTGGGTGCGGGAAGGTGGGAGCGGGGCCGCTGTGGGGCCAGGTGAAGCCAACCCCCACGCCGGGCCGCCCTGCGAACATCTGCACCTCCCCACCAGCCCTGCTATTTTCGCTCCGTCTCATACCCGATTGACTCAGAGCAGAGCTGGGGGGGGTCAGGTTAGGAGGAGCAAGCCGGGGGCTGCGCGGGGCTTGAAAGAGGAAGAAGAGGAGGTGCTTCGAAACCGGGTGCTGCCGTTCCCTCCAGCAGCTCGAGCGCTTTCCTTGCACGGTCCCTGCTGCCTCTCTGCTTCAGCTGCAGGCGATTTGAGGCAGGGCTGGCACTTCCTGCCCGCCGCTGAGGTGCACATACTTGTAGGGCACCATCAGAACAAATTGCACCCTGCGCTTAGACAGCTCCGCCGGGATCTTTCCTGGCTGTCACCGGCTTGGCCGGAGCTCAGCCTTTCGCCCAGCTTCTTCCAGGGGTCGCCACCTCTCCTTTTGGCCTCTTCGGGCACTTTACACGCAAAGGGCAAGTTCCAAATTCCCCAATTCCCATGGATCTCAGCGGGGTGACTCCTGGCCACAGGTGCAGCCTGAGCTCTGTTGTGTTTTGTTTGTGGGCCCCCGACACGGTCCTGCAGCCTCTACACCTGGAGCCATGAGCCCCCCAAGCACTTCTCCTCTTGCAGGTGGCCCTGCGCTCCCGACCAGCCCTCCCGTGCCGTTTGCTCCCTCTGCAGAATCCCCCCACCGGGCTGTGACCCCCTTTGCTGCCAGGCCATAAACCTGCAGGGCTCCAGCACCCCGGGGACGAGCGCTGGGCAGCCCCTGCTCCTCACCCAGCTGCCGGCCTGGCGCTGGCAGTGCCCCGCAGCCAGGCAGACATCGACGGGGAGGGGGGAGGATAAAGGGAACCCAAACCCTTTGGGCAGCCTGCTGTGGGAAACCTGCCCTAGTGCTGCCCATCTTTCTTCTTCTATTTCATTTTTTCTCTCTCTTTTTTTTCCTTTTTTTTTTTTGTTAATTTCTTTCTTTTTCTTTATTTTTTTCTTTTCTTTTTTTTCTCTTTAATTTTTCTATTTTTTATTTTTCCCTTTTTCTCTTTTTTCTTTTTTCTTTTTTTTTCTTTTTTCCCTTTTTCTTTTTCTCCCTTTTTTAATTTTTTTTCTTTTTTTCCTTTTTCCCCTTTTCCCCCCTTTTTTCTTTCCCTTTTTTGTTTTTCTTTTTTCTTCCTTTTTCCCCTTTTTCCTTTTTTCCCTTTTCCCTTTTTCATTTTTCCTTTTTTTCTTTTTTCTTTTTTTTTTCCTTTTTTCTTTTCCCCCTTTTTTCTTTTTTCCCTTTTTTATTTTTCCTTTTTTCTTTTTTTCTTTTTAATTTTTTTTTCCTTTTTTCTTCCCCCCCTCCCTTTTCCCCCCTTTTCCTTTTTTTTTTTTTTTTTTTCCTTTTTTTTCCTTTTTTTCTTCCTTCCTCCTCCTCCTCTTCTCCT